CTAGGACAAGGATTCGTTGCTGTGAAAATTGGCTCAGTGGACGGTCCTGCAGCTGAGCGCACCGCGCAGAAGCCGATTGTTTTTTTGCCGGGGGTGAAGCTAGTGCATGAATCACGTATCAGTACATGAACAGGCACATCGTAGCTGTACGGCGTATTCAAATATAGATCTTATCCATGTGGCGCTACCTTGAGCCAGCCGAGAGGTGACCGTAGTAAAATTAGCTGCGGTAGCGCACTGCGTAGAAGGATACATGCATCTGTGCCTCTCTGCTGTGTACTGTTATATATAAATATGCTTGAAGCAACATAGTGCACAAGGACTAGGACTCCGCAGTCGACTGGACAAAGTGGCGGGTGCAGTCGTCCTTGGAATTGGCACTTGCGTAGCAACGTGACGTTCGTGTTGCCTCGACGGGTTGTCTCACCGCATCGCTTTGGAAGTTCAGTCCCCTGGATTGTTGCGTTTGGCCTTCAGTGGCCAGGTGGCAGCGTATGACAGAGCTCGGGACTTCCGCGGGATTGCATGTTTGTTTGCTCTCGCACTGCGTGTGTTGGCCTGCGTGCTGGTGGCTTTGAGCACATGGTACTTGTATCGTCAGTTTTCCAGTGCTGCTTGCCTCGGCGTCGTTGCCACACAGGCGAAGCGGCAAGGCCATGGACATAAAAGACAGCCACGGGCAACGAAGCAAGAAAGCCCCGAGCTGAAGCTTAACTTGAATGGCACCCGAGTTCACCGGACTTCTGCAACAAGGATTGCGAGGAAGACTAGCCAGCTGCCACCATAAAAACAGTAGCGTATTAATAATCAGAGTCTAGGTTGGCAGTCGTGGTATATTGCAGCCGATACTACCAACGAAGTAAATGCTGCGGGCAAGTGTAACTAATCACTTTTCGGAAGCTACTTTATTGTGGGGAAGGCGGCACACAGAATTTCTCTCCCAGGATTTGAACGCAGAACTCTAGCGATGCTCGCCGCAGAAAGTGGTCTGCTGGGAGTGTGTGCCAAACGGACTTCACGAAAATACCGGAGGACTACTTGTACTGGCTACTGCACACTGATATTGCATGGTAGCTCAGCAAAGCTAGGTGAATGCAAATTTTTGGATAGAAAACTCTGAAGACTCGAGGACAAACCCAAGCTCGGGGAGAATCCTTTGATTAGCAGTCTTTAAATAGGCCCGGCTCGCAGACCAGCGAGAAAATGCCGCTGTAGCAGGAGTCTCTAGCAGTAGACGAACAATGTTCCCCGAGACTACGGGTATCGAGTACGACATGGCAGATCACCGGCAGCTGAGGATAGAAATTATTGTAGAATCCAGAAGCATTGCGGTGGTACAGCGGGCGCTTTGCTGTTCCAGAGTTGAATGTATATGTGTCACCTTTCAAAATGAAAAAAAGTTCGAAAAATATTAGCAGGTTCCAAGAGACTGCTTCAGCTATTGGTGAAACAGCTTCAGCTGGGCACACAGACCTAATAACCTCTCTCAAAAGCTTTGCCTATTAAAGCTTAAACACACTGTCTCGGTCCCATAACGCTTCATTGCGTTACAGTCGGCGATTCAACACCAGATTATGGGACTCATTACCACGTCCAGCTAAAGCCTACCTACTGAAGCTGTGGATGAAACTGGCCACTCCCGTGGAGGCGTCACCATTCTGCGCATACATTACCACATCTCAAGCGATAAAAATAGTCAGGCGCCCAGTAATCTGCAACAGAACATTTCGCGACTAGCAGGCGGGTACCTATATGAGAAAACGCACTAAAACTTCTCATTTTATGTTGGAACTAAGATTACTATGCATGTTGCTATCAAATAAGCGGCTGCTGCTTCAGCAGGTCAACATAAGCTTCGAAACCATAGCATAATTTGGAACAGATTATTGCCTGAGATGGCCAAGGGATGATAAAGAGGAGTAGTTCTTTGTCAAGCTTGATCACAGCTGTACGGATTGCACAAGCCCTCTGAGGCAGGAATTACGATGTTCAGCAAGCGACACAGAAATTTGAAGGAATCTTGAGAAGGGTTGCTTAAAGGCATGTTTCAAGCAGTATGCTGAAACTAGCTTAGGTGTGTCCAAAATTAAGAGGATCCGGGACAGAATAGAAGACAGCTTTGCAGCGAATATTGTTACTTTCTTGGTGTACTCAGAAGCTACTAGGAGGCTAACGCTTGCACGTTGAGCCGTTTCAGGCCGTCATACAGCCAACAGGGAAGCCTGCCTTTTCCTGTCAAAATTGTGTTCATTGTACCTCTTGTGATAGTATCTTGCATTCACTCCGCAGTAGTCTATTACGTACGGTGCTGGGCTGGTAGTACACGGTATCGACGCTGCTATATCGTAGCCAGCATTCTACGTGCGCTGAGTCAATGGCGGACAAACACACACACATACACTATAACGCTTAACAGGATGCATGAGACTCCATTGTCCTTAGCCTGTACCAATGAGTGCAGCTATGTTACATCTGCCTTGAGTCTTCTTGTAAAAGCTACGGGAATCCAGTTCTCTGCTAGGGCTGACGACGCATGCCCCTCACGTTTTCCAAAAGCGAAAATGAAACGACAGCCGTAAGAGAACTGAAAGGGGTTTAGGTTCCTTCGTGAATATTCCCTGCTGCGGGAGAATTCAGCGCTTGCCGACCGATTTGCCCTTCGAAATTATCGTTGCTAACGCTTGCTCGCAAAAAACACATCATTTCATCACCTTAGAACCGACTGAAAGCTTCTTTTTGAAAGAGAAATATCATCATTCCTGGATCAAAGAGCTTGACAACCCCACACTGAATGGGTCTTCTTTCCTCAGGGCTTCCGTCGTTCTGAACTGCCCACGTTTGTTTTTTTTACCAAAGTAAGGCAGTCCCCTATAACGTTGAATGTAAAAAATCATGGTGGAACTGAAACACCGGCTTAAGAATGGTTGTGAGTCGCATTATCAGTGGGCTCACACTCTTAATAACGCCGAGTAACTCTATAAAGTAAGCTGTGAATTCGATGCTGCACCACTGACCCATTTCTTCCAGTCATCTAAGTCCCCCTAAGCAGCTGTGCTCCGCAAAAAATTTCTCCTTTCACTGTATTGCATTATACGTCGCTCCAGTCTCCCATGCAGTGGAGTGGGGTGGTTGCACAAACTATATGCTAGGTACGTGGGACTAAGTGCGGCTGGAGCCCTTAATAATTTAATTCAGAACCTACCAAGTGAACGCCGCGAATTTCCTTTTAATGTATTTTTAACGTTACGCAATAATTATGTTCACCAGTGACATTCGGTAGCCTGTGTCGCTGTCTTTAGGTCACGAGCTTGAGTTCGGTTTGAATCACCAGCGGAACAGTCGTTCGCCAAGCAGTTCAGTCCCAACACACCAATATCGAAACCGGGGGACCCATGTTCACTTTTTGCACGACGACAAATTCAGGCATCAATTTGTAAAACTTTACAGAGGAGAGATGCGAATCTATCGCCTTTGTATACCAGCGTGTGCATTCCTACTCCAGGTATTCTGTTACTGATGCCAGACTACGGTACGCCTACCCTGCAGCGAAGTGGATTCAATAGTCGTATGGACTACGGCCGTCTTGTGGCCTGGGTCACAGCTGTCTATAGGGCATTTAGCCGCCAAAAATTGCAATAATTAAACCTATACCTCCAAATGATGAGAAGATGAAGAGCTTCTTGAGAGTCCAACCACTGTTCTGCGCACGTTATGCCACAAGCCACACGAAAGCTGAGCCAACCAGCAGGAGACTCACTGAGCACCTCAAGAGAATCCATACAGAGCTTACTGAAAATGCCTGAGCTATTTTTGATCACTCAAAAAACTGATAAAGCCCCTATTCGAGGGAAACAACCCACAGATAGTAATCCAGTGCCTTCCTAAGGCTTGCGCCAAAATAAGGCCCTTCCAAAGACGGGTTTGCCCTAGTGGGATACCCCTTGTGGTGTTGAAGGTTTTCAGAAGACGGGTTTGCTCTAGTGGGATACCCCTTGTGGTGTTGAAGGTTTTCAGAATTCGGAAGAGACAAAAGGCATAAGATTCTGACTGTGCCTTGCAGCGGGGCACTGCCAAGCGGCAACTGTGCACTACAAAACAGCGAGCCAGTTTTTGGACAGCATGGTGTCCAAATTTCACTTCACTGCCTGCTGGTGAGAAAGGGTGAATGCGTTATCTACGGGTACTGGTGGCTGTAGCTCCGTGTATATGAAGTCTGCGTTTGACGAGTGCAGTGGCATCTAAGGCCTTGGGCCGCCTCTAAACATGGCTCTCAGCCAGAAAGCATATTCATTCTTCCATTTCCGCAGAGTTACACGCAATCCTTCTAGCCGAAGAACTGCTTTCGCTTGCTTCTTCACACCAGGGCACATGCTCTCCTCAACCAATAGTCGTGCAGCAGGGTAGAACGCTTCTCCCTTTTCCTTTTTATAGTCTGGAAAAATTGTATGTTTACAGTAAGTTGCATATTTTCTGTGCGTGGCTCTCATATTTTCGCAAAGTCTTCTGCGCCTGCAGTGGGTGCTGCATCATGTCTCGCTTTTGTATGCGAGTCCGAATCTTCAAAACATCCTTAGCATGAAAAGAACATCTATTATTTGCTGGGCTTTTTAGTATACTGTTGAAAAGACGTACGCAGATGCCACTTCTTGATTCTCGTCGTGCATTGGGGAATGCTGTTACCTGGCATGAATAGGTCTGCGCATGCCGTGCAATGGTTTTTGTTGGTGGTACTTGCCTCTGCAATGGCAGCAAGTGATTATTATTTTTATCTTTGCTGATTAAGTTATTTTACTTCCCCTAGTTTTTACTTCTGTTGCTTCTGCCGCAGCAATAACCCCGGGGAAACCCGTTGAACATCACCTATCAACAGCAGAACAGCAGTTTGGCGCCCATCGTAAACGCGATAAGTATACCTTTGTCTCCTTTTAGCCTATCTGCAGCCACTTATTTCGCTGCGTTATTCATTTTCATGGCCAACTCCACCGCTCCCGTGCGAATAAATGATGAAGCAGCAAGGAGACCGAACGACGGGTAGGCGCCGGCAGAATCAACCAACGCTTTGTGTGAAAAGTGGTTCCACTTCGTACTTGAGAGGAAACCAATGTGGCAGCTGCACGTCATCTTCAGCGTTGTACTTCCGTCTGCATCAACGTTTTCCAGGATGCCCCTTTCCCTTAGCACTTACCTGGCTGTTTTGGGGCAACAATTGATGCATTTGCATATTTGCGTGCTCTGCTTGCTGCTGTGTTCTCATATGCGGCACAGAATACCACGACACGTCGCGGATCTTTCGTTACGTGCAACAGACGAAGCATGAGACAGAACCTGAGCTGCTTCTGTACCTGTGCGTCCCTGCTGTCCTCGTGGGCACCCTATTTAGGGCGTACCAAATGTACTATATTGCACTATTCGTCGCATGTAGCTCCTTTCTCGGCTGCAAGTATGGCGAGGTTAACGTGCAACAGTACATATCCATGGGGATGATGATCGTCATGGCCACAACCATGCAATTCATGCAGCCAGGAGGAGGCTCCCGTATGAACTCCCAAGGAGCTCCTCCCCAGCCCCAGCCAACAGGATTGCAGCCATCTTCATAGCTGAAAATACCCACTAGGTCTAGGAGCTAGTAGCCGCCTTCGTCGTCTGCCAATGTTTATGTCACCCGCCCATGTCCAGCAGGGTATTCACCCTTCGTAAAACGAAGCGTGCTGGAAACGAGGGCGCTTAATACTTAGACTTGTTCTTAGTCGAGTTCCGCTGGCGACTTTCGCCCGCTCCCCGTGTGGCAAACCATGTTATTTGCGCACCAGCAGACTTCCACGGCAAGGTCGCTTCGGGCTCCCTAAATGCTAGTTCCCGCTTCCGAGCCAAAACTACCACTGCAACTATCCGCTAACAAAGGACCGCTCTTTAGGTATGCTCTCTCCACCAGCGCCTTAACCCGTGAAGGCAAGCATTTGACTGACACACTTACAGTAGTGCGGTCTAAACATCGCTTACTAATGAGCGCTTCGCTTGATGTTTGCAGCCAATGCTGCGAAAAAAAAAGCAACCTCACCTAATCTGCCATCGGCACAGCCACGAGGCGAACTCGCCAAGCAGAATTCAACCAAGTGCCTTGTCAGCGAGCAACCAATATTAGCAATACCTTGATAGCTAGCCAAATTACTAGCTAGCCAGGTTGATCGGACACTGACCAAAGCAGGTCCCAAGCAGATGTGCCAAAGCCCAGCCCTGGCTGTTGCCGAAGTAGGCGCTACAGGGATCCACTACTGTTGCATTGAAGACCACTCGTGGTGGTCAGTCACCCTCTGAACGTGTTCTTACGCTCGCGTAGAATGTGCATCGTCTGCACCTCATCGCCTTCCGGTGCCCTCACTGCCCTCTGTACTTCAGGTCTGTCAACTCGCATAAACGGGTTGTAGGTCTTTTCCTACAAACAGGTAACTAAACACAATATTACTGCCTTACCCCGAGTTTTTCTTATTAGTCTACACTTGCTATGTGTAGAGTACTGCGGCGAAGTGAGGAATGTGTAGTTAACCCATTGGCTAGACCAGGTGGAGCAAGATGTATAATGCCGTATGTGACGGGCTCTCTCTAAGTAATCAGTTTGACGCCCGTACAAACATTTTATTATTCGCCAGATACGCTTTTCATTCATGACTACACTTCCGGCCACGTTCGCCGTTCCCAGTGCCTGGCGCTGTTTCTCAGTGTGACGTTTTATCAGTAAAGTTAAAACAACTGGTACTAAGCGTCACTACCAATAAGAAGAGTGGAACCTGACCTCGCCAATAGAAGAGGGTATAGTTGGCTTTCCCGCATTCCGCTGTTGCTGTGCCCACTCGAGCTTGTTTTGCACAGCGGCGTTGTTTGGCTCCACACTAGCAGCGAACCTGTAGCAGTCAGACAGCCCTCGCGGGGAGGTGCGCACGTACCAAGAAACTAGGCCACCGAACACCCAGGGATTCAAGAGAAAATGTGACCCACGCAAGCAGCTAAGGAGCCATAAGCAAACAATAACAATAGTATGTGCAGACGAGGCATTGACAATGCGCGCGAGCGCACACTACGAGCAGTAACAAACAAAAACTACCACCTTGCAGCACTACAGTTAGGAGCAGCACAACGGATAGCCAGAGATCAAGCCTCTATAAAGTGACACTGGAAAGTGTCATACGCCTTACCGAAGATTGGCCAAGGTGTATTCATGACCACAGTAGACAAGCGTCTCTGCAGGCAGCTCGCCAATTATCTTCATTAGCGCGCGATGCATTTGCGTAGCATCGCCCTCAAAAAAACGGCCACAACCAGCTAGGAACAATGTATCACCTGCGCATCATCCCACGCCTGGCGGACAGCTGCCTGCTTACAATTACCACGGGAAAGCAGTCAACCATACTGCTAACTCTGAAACCATTCCACAACTCAGCTCGTTGAACAAATCATCAAAAGGAAAGCTGCAATAAATGCCAAAAAGGATCGTCCATAGCACCAATGTGCCAGCAAAAGCAAACGGAAAGCAGTACAAGGATATGACACAAATTGAAGAAGCCAGCTAAAAATACGCGAGCACTTGAAGAATCTAAAGTTTTGAAGCCTCTGCACAGTAAAGAAATATGAAGTCACCTGTAAAGATGATGGGACTTGCGTTAGAGTCTGTGCGACTCTCCACGTAGTAAAGCACATGACCACTCGTGTGACAGGGTGCATGGAGGACCTTCACCAGCAAGTCCCCTGTGAGCCACAATGAAAACTATCCGTAAAAAAAAAATCACCGACCACCGAAGCGCAACAACGGAAGGGCGATGGAAAAGTAAACGCAAAACGCACGTCAGAGGAAAATACTCCAGAGCAAAGTTGTTACCGATGTAAACTTTATCACAGCAAACCCGTAAGCGTCCGCTTCACATTTTTTGCATCAAAGGGATATTTCAGCCCGCCCCGAAATTATACAATGTCGAAAGTATATGAGATACAGTGCAACACTTCAGGCCTGTGCAGATGCTCCTACCTATTCTGAAGGTCTCGCCATCGCAAACAGCTTTGGTCCGCCCTGGGGTTTCTTCGTACGCTGAACCAATCACTTCTATTCCTGGGACCAGGGTCTTGATCTGCTCATTCCCGCCTATTAATGCCACAAAAAACGAGAAGAAAGAAAAGTCACAGGAAAACGACCAAACCTTCAAAACAAGTACAGGGCAGCCGGTCTCTGATCCTTGCATGCAATATTACACGGCCTGATACCATCATGAACTGCTTAGTCTGCACCACTGAGAACGCGTGCTGAACCTTCAGAGCTCTAGGAGGAGACACAGTTTAACACTGATTTGACAGCTGGCTGTTACAAGGGCCCAACATACCTGAATGATCAGCATGCCTATGGGTACAGAGACACTTTTGTAGAGTCACGCCATGCTCTTTTGCCGCAGCAATGACCTGTACGTGAACCCAAACTCAGTGGTTGCATGCATCCCATCACCGACAGACTACTGACTCCAAACTCCAAAAACGTGAACAGTTGCCTTGACAAGAGGCGTCATTCATAAACCCAATCCCACATGAATCCCCTGCAGCCAGCATGGTCCACCACAAAAAAACACAATGCTACAACAAGCAGGTGGGCACTGAAACGACATGGGAATGAGAGTCAGGTCACCTTCTCTGGCTCAGCTGGGTCTATGCAGGCCGCAGTTTTCGTCTTTCTGAATCGCCAAAAATCCCACAGACCATTCACGTTCTTCTTCCCCCAAAAATGCATGGTATGGAAAAGCCTACTGCTAACGTCCGGGGACATGGAAAGAAGCCGCAAGTTGCCTTACTTGTCTATCAAGAGGTATGCATAATTGTCCGAAAGTGTCGGGACAGGAATAACTTCAGCGCAGGCCTGCACACACGAGACAGCCGCAAACGTTTGCGGCGCAGATGCAATTACGTTTCAAGGACAAATACCAGATTGTCTAGGGATGTTTTGTGCCTGACGCAGTGCAAGCGAAATTTGATCTATTTAGCTAAAGCGAATACTAAACAAGCCTAAGTGCTTCAGCGCACCATTTTAAAAAGCGGTGGAGGTCTGCAGAAAGCAATGCTGCTCTTGGCTGTGGAAAAGCCTACGCTCTGACCCTGCACAGCACCGACGTCAACGAGACCACAGACACAGAGAAGAAGGCACTGGGAATGGACTAATTGTGACGTATGAGTCGCACAGCCCCAGGAAAGCTGCAGCTGGCATCTGCAACGCCTCCCTACTGCTGACGTCGCGTGAGGGGAACAGGGACAACATGGAAGGCGCACGGATTGCGGGAACGCGACTAAGTGGCATATTGTACTTCCCAAGATGTGGCACCGTTGTGCCCAAGCTGCAGCTACATGCCGTAACAGGATCATCAGCACGGTACAACAACTGTGGGTGAGCAAAGACACACAATGCCTGGTGGCAGAAAGAAAGGAAACAGGGCACTCAAAGCAACTGTCCAGGTGAAGCTTACGTGGAATGCCTTGATGTCAATTGCAGCCAGTAAAAAAGCACGGCCTGAATATATCATGCGACGCGCAGGGCACCAGTCCTGCTTGCGAATCACCAGCGGATGTGAACGGCTGTTGTCGGCTACGCATGCATCTTTGTGCTGTCTCAAGCTAAGAGCTTTTATATGCAAACAAAAATAGACTGGAATAAAGTACAGTTCCGTCTTTAATGTTTTCACTCACCACGGAACATAAATTCAGCTGCAGTGTTTAGGTCATGTACAGCAGCGCCTGCGGGTTGCGAGCGGGACTGTCTTGGGTGAGGACAGACGGACAGGCACAGTGCGTCTGTCGGGCTGATTCTTTCCCTTTTTCGCTATTGTTTTTAATTTGATTGCGCTGCACTGTAGTTTGAAATGGAGAGCCGCAAACGCCCCTTTCGCCCTCGAGCCGCGAGATGGACTTGGGTCCTTCTCTCTCTTCTAATTCTCGCATGGGGCGCCGATGTGTCGATTTCTACTCCATTAAGTAAGCAACCATTATATTTTAGCTTCGGAGAACAGATTTGCACGGAGATTTTTCATGAGTGCCTTGATAGCGCGTGTGCTGGGCCCTGCTGCGATTGTGAGACGGGAGATATATTCGGGGTCTTTGGGGTGACCCGTCGACTGTTCCACAATTTTTGAGTTCGGTTTTACATTAGCGAAATAAAAAACAGATAGCGTAACCCTTAGGCCAAACAGCACTTCTGCAGGACTGCTGGTGTTGCCTGGATGTCTGCTGTTGAATTCCAGTGTTATACGCATAGGGGCCCAACACATGCATGATGGCCTTTTATTTCCCTCGTGAATTGCGCTGCAGACCGTGAGGCTGAGTCAGCTTTGCTCGCCCGCGTTGAAGCGAAACATTCTACGTTCCCGACCTACGTCCATGGGATGTCCAAGGCGGGCAACCCCGTTATCTACAAGCCAAGCCTAAGTGGGCTGCGAGATTTCCGCAGGTTGTTTGTTTTACAGACCGACTCGTACTTAATTGACACGTGGCTGGAGGTGAGAACTGCTCACCGACTGAACGTGCTAGTCGGTGCTACCTGCAGATGCCATCTCGGATCGCTGTTTAGTGTACTGGTTGTGGACAGTTGTGTACATTAATATTGGACTCGATGGAATGGGTTGGGTTTTTGCTCGCTGGGTTGGTGCTTCCACGCAGGAGACAAAGGCGAGTGCTTTCACGTTGGTTCTGGACTTCGGCATGCTTACGAGACGACTGAGAGCACCAACGCTGGATATGTGGGAGTCACTGAGGAGCGTCGTGGACCCGCTACCTGCGGAGGCGCGATCGTCCATTGAGCAAATGGTTCACCGAGTGTTCGCACGGTGCGAGGCGGTTGTAGTTGTGAATGCAACCACCTTCTTGAAGCTTTTGAAGCCTGTTATATCTCTGATGGTTCCGGTCAGCAGTGATAAGTTATTTGTCTCCACAGACTACTCGGCGCTGTTCAAAGTAGTGTCTGCCCCGCAGGTTCCCAGACCGTACAACCCCTCTTCCCCCGATGTGCTCAGCAGCAGTGCTCACACAACGCAGCTGTACACGTTGCTGAATGCCCGAGCCCAGGAGGTTCTAGGGCGGCCCTTGCAAATTGATATTCCCGCTGCAATGGCTCCGCCTCCGAAAAAGGTGCAAACAGATAAGGAGCAGCCTCCTGTGGTTCCTTCGCCCAAGCCGACACCGGCACCAGAGGAAAGGACTGTAGCAGAAGCCTTAGAAGTGGACCAAGAGGACCTGTTTGATGATATTGACTAGTGACTTAATGGGTTTCAGATCTGAGCTGGCCCGAGGCGCACATGGAAATCAAGAACAGCTTAATCAAAAATGCTGCAATGATTTGCATGGGACTCAGCGTGCAGACTGCCCAACCTCTGTGTCATATCAATGGCCAGGATTGGCACAGGGAAAGCAGTTCTACTGAGGGCGCCTCCCAGTATCTGAAGCCCTTATGCGCGGCGAAGGTTCGCTCACAGCTAAAAAGCTTACGCACGCGCTGCGCACTGGACAAAGAGGAGCGCACGCACATCAATTAGTGGCCTGTTCACGCGCACATGGGTTGCAGAGGTGGACATGGCAAGGGTTCGTGACACACATCCACAGGCTGTTCATGCCACTTAACCTGCCAGTAACAGTGCGGGGAATGGCTTTTGTTTCTTCTGGCGGCAGCGACACGTACGACCGTGATATATTTTTTAGAGGGAATGCCACTCCTTTATCGAGTCAAGAATGTGCTCTGGATTCACCTCCGAGTAAAGGCGGTGCATTATAACTTGTTGCTCCACAGCAGACCTGCAGCTTTAGATTCGATTTCTTGGGGATACTGGGTGGATAGGCGAAGTTGTCGATGCAGCATGGGGAGTGTAGGTAGGGAGGTAGTGGCGTAGAGCAGCGAGCACACCATAGCATGTAACACCGAAAAACACTTGCTTTTAGAAAGCTTTCGCGTCACCCAGACAACAGGTCGGGGATACAGCATAGACCTAAGCGATGCGGACGTGTTGGTAGTTGTTATGGCGGCGACGTTAGCTTTAGTACGCCGTCGTTGTTAGGAGGAAGCTTCAGAGACATGAAGAACTAGCTTGTGGAGTTCCCTGTTTGCAGAATAGAATGGCTTGTGCCGCCAAGCTACTCGAGCGTAGCAGTTGCGGCTACTTGGGTTTCGCAGGATGATGAGCTAATATGTACTGATCGCACTACCACTGCAGCGGTGCCAGCATAACGGGCAGATATCTGTAGATCTATAAGTAGCACTTTACACAAAGACACGCTGCGGTACATATGTTCCCTCCTTCGAGCATGTGGAGGCATGCAAACGATCTCTAGCCCATTAGGCTGGAGCGTAGCTGCAGTTCCACGGTTGAAGAGCAACGTAGAAGGTTAGTTCGGCAAGCTTGCTTATTAAATGCTTTTCCACTGATTAAGCCCAAAAAGTTCCACTGGATTATCTAAGCGGCTGTGCAAATTGGTCTTGGCCAATTTGACCACACTGCAGAGAGAACTGCTTATGCAGACAGAACAAACAAATAGTCAATCAAACAACAAGATAAACCCCAGAGTCCTCCTTGTTCACTGGTCAAAGAGATAGAAGGTATATCACTCACGATGAACCAGTGATCAGCCGGCATTTCTTGCTCCTAGCGTGACCTGTGTGACTCTCATTCCTTCACTGTTGCTCATTGTGCCGAATAAAAGTAGCATGTAGAGTGTGTTCGAAATCATGCGTGCATTGGTGTTGACTGTATTCATGACGTCTGGAGGCAAAAGGAGATGGGTTTATATTGGGGGTAGCTTGCTGGATGGGTGTGCGTAGGCCAACTGGGGTTTGTCGGATCAGCATGCTTCTTGCCACAATACGCTTCCTGCGAACTGTTTCCACTCGGACTGCATTGAATTACTTTTTGCATAATAAATCTCTCCTGATACACGCAAATGGACATGATGAGATTGTCAACCTAAGCTGCGCAAGTGCGACACTCTCTACAGGACACCAGGCTGTACAGGGCAGCGAGTAGCGCGTTCCACGGTTGTTGGTCTATGCATTGTCATCCTGGCTAAGAAGAAAGGGTTTATTTAAGAACAGACGTAGCTCCGCTGAGCCATCGTGTAGCGGCACCGAACTTGATTAGAATGTCGAGACAGAACTAGAGCCAATGGAGATTGACAGTCAGGTGGCGGCTAGTGCTGGCGCTTCTGCTGAGGCAGTACCGAATCTAGTTACTGATTTTACAAAGCCATTGACGGCTGGAACTCAGGAAGAATCCTTTGCTGCAGTCGGAGAGGCAACTGCGGCTCTACTGGGAGCTGCTTTCTGCTCTCAAGATACTAAAGTGGTGCAGAAACTTGTCGAAGCACTAACTCTCCCTGAGGAGCCTCAAGATGCTGTAGGTGATAGTGAAGACGGAGAGTCTGAAGGTCCGAAAGATGAAGGCGGCAATGCTGTCCCAACTACGCCGCAGCAAGAAACGCAACACGAACCAATACCACCAACATCAGATTGTTCCGTCGCCGGCTGTTTTAGCTTAGAAGAAGTGCCATTTGGCTCTGTCACTTTCTCTGGAAGTTTGTCTCTTAGTCAACAAGGGACGCTTAGCTTTGTCGGACCAGGCAAGGGAAAGCCACTCAATGTAGGCTGTGACGTGCAGAAGTCCTGCATAGCAACTGTGGAGAGACACGCTCAGTCATGAGCGTCTGCATGGTTCCGGGGCATGCGGAATCTATCCCATGGATATGATGCCCATACTTTTTACCCCCACTGATTCCAGTGAATAATGCGACACAATTAATCAAGTGCGTGGACTCCGCTCAAATCAGGTTTCCAATGACATTGCTGTATTTGCTTGAGCAGCTACTGTGCGAATTGAAAATGGTACGAAGTATTGCGGCCAGCTTTGCAACCGTATGCGACTTTGCGGCGATGGGAAAATTGATTGGCCGAGCGGAGCCACGTACAAAGGACAGGTAGTTTTCACTGCTTCTCAGCAACTCTAAAATACTCACAAAGAGAAGATGAAGGTCCGGAGCTTGCTAGGGCTCATCTGAGCTTGTGATCAGCTATCATTTCTTGAGTGTCAGCACAGCAGACCTGTCTAACTGCTTTCCCGCACGCGAATTGTATGCTGATTGTATGCTCGTTATAGAAACACAGCAATGCGAAGTATCTAGCTAATTGAAAAGAACACAAACCACACCTTTATACCTAAAATCAAATTATGACAAAGAGAGGCTTGTGAACGTTTCTGTTTTGTATAACGCGATAGGTTGCTCAAGGTCTGCGCAACGGAGTTGGTACTTACACCTCAGCAGATGGGTAGGGCACAAGAATTGGCACGAACGGCACGCATAGATGACTTTGAGGGGAAGAAAATTTCGTAGAATAATTGGTTAGCGGAGCAGGATTCATCGACAGAGTGCTTTGTGCGACTGCGGCACCTAGAGTGCTACCAGACGTTTGGATCATTTGAATTTTCTCCACAGGAAATTCACTTATGAAGGCGAATGGTGCCAAGGGGTGCGCGTCGGTTGGGGGGTCCTAACAAGCACGGACGGCAGCAAATACTCGGGTATTGTACACTAACTGGCTTCTGCCTTTTGTGAAAAAACAGCTACTCTGCAGCTCAATAAGGAGAGGAAAAAATGATTCAAAGAGAAATTTACACTTTAAGTACAAGATGCGCATACTATTCTTCGATGATACCACATGAAACAAGAGGCCAGAGCTTCTGAATCGCCATACCACACAGGAGCTGCAAAACCTTTGTCGCACTCTAGGATGGGCCTAGCAACATGGTCACTCGCCATAGAAAGCAGTACATCGTAATTATGAATATCTGTCGGCAACCTACAGGAGAATGGCTAGCAGGCCGCCGCCACGGTTTCGGAGAACAGATCTATGCTGATGGTAGCAGATACGAGGGACAGTGGGCTGACGGGCTGCAAGATGGGCATGGGGTTATGGCATGGAAGAAATCCGCAGTTCAGTACTGTGGTATGGGCCACACAACACTTAAGACGTTGGCGCAGGCCCTTCTTCGAAACTCGTGCAAAGCAGCATGATCCATAGGCTTCCCAAGCAGTACCCCCCATTGCATAGAGTTGCTTGGGCAGCATATGATGTCATATGCTTATGCGACTAACAGGGCTTAACGCGAATAGACGATCGCAGGATGTGCACGGTATTGAGCAGTGGTAGCGCTTCGCTAGGGCCCGCGCTCTCGTTTGTTTGCTTTGCGTCATGTGAAATATGCAGGAGAGTGGAGTAAGGGCACTGTTTCCGGGTGGGGCCGCCAAACTTGGATTGAAGCGCCTGACGCAGAAGGCGGAGGCTCATGTAAATGCTTGTCGTGTTCCCTCCCATTCTGAGTCTGACTAGCTGTTAGGCAGGCCAAGATGTATAAGTTTAGTTCGCATTTGACCACTGAGACATTCTGATGTCGAGCAAATGCTCCTCGCCGCAGGGAGTGTCGGGCGCAACCTCCAGCAAAACCACTACGAAGGACAATTCCAAGTAGCCTTACACTTCCGCAAGTACTGAGCCCAACTGGTCTACTCTGCAACTGTACAAAGCTTCCTCTTCCATAGCGACATCGTGGTCATCCCATCTTCCGTTTCCTGCCTGTGCCTCCCGCTTGCTTCAAGACAAGAGCACCCTTATGAAGGCAACCAAAAGCCTTTTGTCTGCGTTGTGTGAATAGAACGGCCGAAGAGAAGGAGTTGGGGCGTTTAGCTACTCTAACGGGGCTAGATATGAGGGTTCATGGGTAGCAGATCAAAAGCATGGAATAGGAAAGTTCAAGTCTGAGACTGGAGTGCTGTATGAGGGTAAAAGTAGCGGAACAACTAAAATACACCCTGAGCTATACCCTGAGAAACCTCACATGGCCTTCTTCTCTGCCCCAAATTGAGTGGTCATCTGACGCTGGGGCATTTATGACTCTCAATTTTCACTTTCTAGGCCTATTTGTCTATGACCGGATGGCTGAAGATCCGCCTGCTGCTCTTGATGACGGTGTGAGAGCGTTTGTCGACCTGTCTACTGCGGAGCAAATAGAAACTTACAGGCATCTTGAGGCGTGCAGCGGACCTGACATTTGGCTACAAGCCTCAGCTTGCGAGCGCCTAGCTGCTAAAACAATTCGAAGCGTCTACCAGACAATGCTGAGGTGAGAACCCTTTGTGAGTTTTTCTAGTCTTTGCGCTAATATGTTGTACGGCTTCTCCTTGGCTTGCCGTTTCATAAAAGCTGTGCACGATTTAATGTAAGCAGCTGCTGGACTCTTCTTTCATCCGTGATATCGCCTCCTGCATAACTTCGACTTCCTGCTGGATTTTTGCTTGCAGAAATGTATGCGTCCTCCGACGGGTTTATGGGGCTTATCGCCGCTTCGCGCCAATGCCTCATAATGACCCCTATATCCTTTCTTGTGCGCAGTTTTGGTACGAGCGGAGCCGAATTGGATGAGTATTTCAGATGCGACAACTATTAATTTGAACGGCAGCCTGGCAGTCTGTTCTGTTACTAGTTTGTACACCACTGTTTCTATCCACCTTCAGACTAAGTAAACCACACAGCCTTCTGTATGCACGAATCTGACACTTTGCCCCTTGTGACTGCTGCGCCTCAGGTGTCTTGCATTTGATGCTGACCTTTTAAGCCGATCCTGCTCTCTTTATGACACAGCTAAGGTATAATTGCCTGTGAAGCACATAACTACCGAATTCCCACATTGCTCTGCCACCTCAGCCTAATAGAAATATCCTGTTTTGGACAGCGCATTTGTGGCTGTGCTCGTTACTTCTTGTCTTCCTGGCAGTTGCTGCTCAGTTCAGGAAGTGATGAGACATTCCAGCGGGCACGGCGCCTTATTGGCAGAGCCCCTACCACTCTGACCGTAATAGAAGCTGAGCGAAGGCGCAGCTCACGTAGCTCTGATATTCAGATCACGGGAATCACAAATTTACTGCCGCTTGCTGGCACAACTGCTCAGCAGAATTCGACTCAGCCACAAGATGCATGCGACACAAGTTCGTGCTCACGAATCAGCACGCTTCCAAGCCAAGGACACATTACCAGCTACAGTGGAGCAAGAAAGCCGCGCGCCTACGAATCCATCGCTGAAGACGCTCTTCCCCTTCATCGAAGGCCAGTTCTCTTTCCGGCTTTTCTAAGAGCTCTTGTTCTACTGCTACAAAACCGTCTGCGCTGCCAGAGAAAAAGATATAAGCGTCGAGAAGTGTTACGCACTGCAACGCCTCATGCACGATTTCGTGAATGCCCCAATCCAGACGATCCTAATTGTTTGAGCTTTGCTTGGATTGCGCTCTGCCGAAAGCTCCGCATTTTTAGTGATGCCATTGAGAAGCAGATACAGCAGCACAAAAGCGAGTCACGCGAGAAGTCGGGTACTTCAGGCGAGCTGCAAGAGCAGCCATTAACAGGAAGCGATGCTCGGGTGGAAGAGGCAAGCTTTTCTTTAAGTAGCATACCCAGTGAAAGGCATCACCTGAGACAGGCTGCGCAGTCTCGCGGGCTACTGCAAAGAAAAGTTTCCTCTTCACAGCAGCCCTTCTCCTCTCCTGCAAGAGGAAACATTTCGAAACAGTCGATGATCCCCGAATTCTCAACAGATGCAACCCTCGCTCCCTTCGGTAAAGGGCAAGCTTCAAATGAGAAGATAACAAAAGAATCCAATAGGCCAGAGAACCGAACTGCGAAGCCTGCAGATGATTTAACATACACAAAAGATGAAGATACAATCGCAGCACTTGCAGGCCGTCATGCAGAAGTATTCAGCCAAACAGCTGTCGCAGAAGCCTGCTGCATTCTAAATGATGCTCTGCACGGGGCTTTGTTTTCAAATACCGGGAAAGGAGTAGATTCAAGTAAATGCAAAAGCTCTGTTGTGGTATTTGCACACCATTGCATCTGCCCCTCGCACTTCATCCCTTTGCTCTATGGACAGCGCTGGTCAAAGCCGGCCTCATGTGAGTTTGCTTTGTGCTTAAGCTAGCTTGGAAGGTGCAAATTCGGCGGAGATTCCCGGCGCTGCAGTATGCAACGTTCGAACTCTCCTTCGGCTATTCGATGTAATTCAGCGGTAGCTTGCACAGCAGCTCATCCCTGCGACGTTGAGGTTGTTGAAGCACACAGATTAAACCCGAAGGCATTAAACCCTTGAAGTATTTCTGTTTGCCAGGACACACATCAGAAATGACGCGCAAAATAATTGACTGACGCTGCTAACTCGAAAGAGCCCCTTATTCACCATAAATCAATTGCTGAAAATACGAAAGGGCACTAAGGAGTTCCATTATAAAAGGTAGTCCTTTTCTCATTTGGGTGGGCGGCACAGGCAGCAGGTCTTTTGTTGCCTAGTGATGGGCGCCATCTAGCAAGCAAAGCAAGTGGGGAACGTACGTGTCAGGCAACTGCTTGGATGCGTTTGGTCGTGGAAGCTTAAGAGCATATCGAGATAAATTCTGTAATGCATGTGGCATGATTTGACTAAGTAGAGTCACAGAGTCACTTCGTGATCTTGTGAAAGGATCAAAAGAGACGCTGTGGTTCTACCAAAAGCATCTCCAAGATGCCTCCCGTAGGAGAGACAACTTGGCTTTGCTCTGTCACTTTATCAGCTGTACACAAGAGTCGAACCTAATTTAATGAATTGACTTGAGCTGAGTAAGAACATAATTTTGTGTTTTCGAAGATCCATCTGCTTGCTTCCCACTGTGTTCTCTGTTTGTTCTTATAGGCTCACCCACAAACGCTGTTGCTGGTGTAGGCGGAACAAGAAGTAGAAGGAGCAGCTCTGGTGGATCCAGTTTGCTCCATAGAACATCCGTCAATCGAGGAAGGCATTCTAGATGCGTAGGCACAGCACTAATTTGGATTTTTGACGTCATACTGCTTTGCAGTTGTGAGGTGGTCATTTTCGAATTGCGGATCGGCATGGTTGTGGTGCGGGTGACGCAGAGACCCAGCAAGGTTCCTGAGTGGCCTACGTCCACTGAAGGTGAAGATACAGTCACCAGCTTTGCGAATTAGCTTAAATTCGGAACAATCTTGAAGGCAGGCGACTGAATGTGCATCATTTGTGAATACCATGCCTACATGCAAAAAAACGGATATTTTCGTGAAAAACTCCTGAATTTCTGGCACAGCCTCATGCTTTACATAAGGCTTGCTTACAATGGTGTTTTCAATATATCTGCTACCTTGTCTGTATAGAAGCTGCACTCATACTCGGGACGATGCCACTCAAGGCTTTTGCTTTACCAACTCTTGGGGTGGTAGCGCTTTTACTGGAGGTCCTTCCAGCATCCGAATACTCTAGCGGTAGCTTTAATATGTGTAAAAACGCAAATCTGCAGAAGCAAAAGCAAGACGAGCTAAATAAACAGGAAGACGAGGTTGAGGACTGCAACCCCGCTCCCCTAAGTGATGCTGCTGCGATTAAACGTGACAAAATTCGATGCGACCAGACACAGCAGTTGCTGGTGCTCGGGCGAAAGCAGCATGTTCTGAAGAGACAAATGCGCAAGGGACTGCTTTCTTGGAGCGAAGTGGCCAGCTGGAAACTAACTCACATTGAGGTTCAGCGACTCTTCTTGCGCATAGTTCAGTTGAAGGTAAGGTGGTCAATCTACACGAATTACTATACGCGGTATAGGCAAATGGCTATGAAAATCTTTTCCCTCTTGCTTTGATGCCTATAGGTGCCGCCCCCCATTGCGGCCTTGCTTTCATCCGAGCGGCAAGTTCAGGAATTCCTACGACTCCTTGAAGCAGCAATCGTTGTTCCTCTGAAAGAGCAGCAGCAGCTTGTGGGGATAACTGTGGAGACACAAGAGCAGCAGCAGGTCGGGCAGCCATACTCTTTGTCAGGCGATGACTCGCCTGCTATCCGGAGCGAAGCCACTTGCTCGGCCGTGCAAATAGGTGACGGGGAAAACTTGAGATGCTTTTGGCAGGGATACTGTGGCACATTAATGCAAAGGGAGCTGCGCGATTTGCCTTTGATTTTACATGAGGCGCTAAAACCTGATACAGCGGAGATGGATGATGAAACTGCGAGTGAAAGTAGCACTCCAGCTGCTTAAATTCGACCTGGCTTCTGCAAACTTTGCTACCCAGTAGGGCTGATTGGGACTTGTACTGCTTAGATCCATGCAGCTGTTTGCTCCCAGGACAAACAGTCTGGTTTGCGCGACAATTGTGATGAGCGTCTTTGTGTCCTCCCTTTAGAGTACCCTTTTGAAGTCATTGCAGATCAAGGAAAAACTCTGGGATTTCAAAGCAAAAGCAATTTCACTACCATGCTGCTACGGCATTACATACAAGCTACAAAAGAAATGCACTGTGGCCGGACCTAGGAAGGCGCAATGGAGCGCTGCGAAGCGCTGTGTTTCAACATTGAAAATTTTCAGAATTTGCGAATAAGTAAAAGCCACACAGTCTAAAAGGCCTACGCAGCTACTGTAATTGCTTCGTTGATGCCTGCCTGTCTAAACGTTTATCTAAAAATGCAACCGTGGGGGGCCCTTGTAGTCTAGCTTCCGATAGCCTTGCTAACTTCCAAGTGTAAGACCCTACTGATGCCGCTTTCGATCATACGTAGCGCACACGGAAAGAAAGAAGAGCTCTCGGTAGATCTACCCTCTTGCTCATATTGAATCGTCTTCAGTGAACTAAGATCATGCAACTAGCCGGGCAGTTGAGTATCGAGTACAAGGCTACAATTTTGTGCAGGCGCTGTTCTATTTGCGTCTCCTTATCGAAAAAAAAACAATTGAGGGGCCCAATCAGAAGCTCACTAACACATCGTGAGTTGTGCCTCGCGGTGGTGTGGCTTTCCACGGGCCTTTGGGCTATTGCTACTGATGTGTGTGGCTTCTCACCGTATTCTTGGTGGGGCCGCTGGCGCTGCCTGTCCGGCAGATATCTTGCGATGAGCGCCTCTCGCTACCAGTGCTAGTGGTCCTGTGTTTGACAGGTGGTAATAGCTGCCTGCTTTGCTGGCTTCTATGCTTCGGGTGTACACTTTGACCCTTCGTTGCTGTTGGAGGCAATTGCTGCTGGCCTTGGCTTGTCGTAGCAGGTGGGATAAAAGAGTCGCCTATTCGGGAGCCTGTAGTGCAACTAGGCCGGCGGGCCCTCCTGTGCGCTTCCGGAGGTGATGGGAAGTGGGACCTCGAGCGACCGTCGTTTGTGCTGTGGGCTCTCTGCTTACTCTCGCGGCTTCTACTGGCTGAAGCCACCTCGTTTCGTGTAAGTATTGAGCCATGTCGGAACAAATCTTGCCCCTGCAGCTGGGTGTCCCCAAGTGCAGTTCTCGATGAGGCTGCAGCTGACTTTGAGCGTCTCATGGGGCTGCCGCTGAAGCTGGGGTTCTCTCGCTTTCTCTCTACGGTGCCGATGTAACCGGTTCGATGAGACGGAATTGTCAGGAGTGAGCTGAGAGGGCCGCTTGTGTTGTTGCTGCTTGCAGCATTACTTAATGAGGGACCCTTCGCTCCTAGCTTGGAGCTGGTTGGCTTGAGTGAAAGACTTGGAGGTGGTACGGACACCCTCGTGGCGTCGTTAATATTCCCTTCTTCCGCCGGACCTGCGGCAGTTGCTGTACCTGTATCGTGTCGCATCGATTGGCTATCTGCATCTTCTTCCAGTTCGCTGCACACATCTCCCACTTGAGGTTCCACATGGCCCCCAGTCATGGGGCCTAACCATGATAGAATCACGGGCAATAATATCATTCCGTGAGCTGCACCGAACAAAACCACCTGTGAGAATTAACAGACAAGACCAGATGCACGAAACGAAGAATTTTTCTATGGAGAAATCCTGCGACACGTCAAAAGAACGTTCAGCTTACTGAGCAGTTACAAACCATACAGTAAACAGCTGCAATCCCGTACAGCTGGATAGTTGCAGCTTCTTATTCTTCTCAGCCTCTACAAGTTGCATTCAGGAAGGTGACAATGCATATGTTTGATGAGAATAATACAGCGCACGGTTGTAGATGCGTTGCGCTTCTCTGTATGGGACTTATGACTGGCTCACCATGACCATCATGCGGAAGAAGACAGTGAAGACAAAGGATTCGCTAAATCCCAGCAGCAAGATACCCAGCAACGTCGACGACGCTCCATGAAAAAGGGGGTTTCCCATCAGGACCAGAGCCTCTATCGCCCTAAAAACATCATCGCAAGTGTGAATCATGGCTTTATTGGCGCCAATTTTCTGAGCACCTTGTACCCGCATTACAACCGGCGTACAGCAAGGTTGCTGGTCTGTCCATGCATTTAATCTAGGCGGCAAAGCTACGTGCAGAATGCCCAAGCTGACTATTTTGAGACAAAGTGGCGATTAGTGCTATCATGGTGGTGCTACTGGGCAGTTCAAGGTGGCCACTTGCCTCTCGTCGCGAGTCTTTCCCAAGCAGTGCGTGAAACAGTGGCACATGTGAGCAGAGTAGTCGACAGCAAATCCAATCGAAATAACCAAAGCAATTGTTGACACCATGTGCAACTTCACCTGCGGAAAAGCGTGAGCACGGGTCTTATTGGCTCTACAAGCCTCTGTTTGCATATGTGCGTGTTAAGCTGTATTCTCTTCAGCTGTTGGTAGGTGTTGTCACTGATCGTGCTGCTAGCTTTATCAGGGATTCTTCGGTAACCAGCGCTTACATGCCAGAAATACATGAAGCCGAATAGTGCCAAGTCAATCAGGCAAATCATCGAAATCACCAACAGACCTGCGCTAAGCTCTGGAATCAGAATAAATGCCACCTGAGAGCCAAAACACCAAGCAGGCACCAGATTTGTTGCCTTCCGAAACACATACAGATCTTAGCTTCGCCCATGACACGCATCAGTCCTAGGAGTTCAGCACAGGCGTGGTAGCGCAGCACATAGGGCACAATGGAGCCTAGCAGTTGCTTCAGGCGGCTCGGTAGAGGTCGCCATCCAGCTGTTCTACATAAGAATTGTCAGGCTCACTAGCAACATCGCCACTCCTGCAGACAGCATGTTGATGAGGACGGAGCTAAGAATACCCAGATCGCTCTCGTAGAACACCATCATATAGGTGTAAGAAGCGATATTGAGGGGCGCAACTGGCGCATTTCTCAGTTTCTCGAGGTCTCGCTGCAGCTTCAGCTGCTCATGGAGCTCTTCAGGGTCATTTGATAGTTCCTGCATCTCCGTTTCCTTTAGCATGCTGTCTAAAAGGACGTCGGGGCTTGCCATAGCATCGCAGTCTTGTCGAAGCTGCTGCATCCAGAACGCCCGCTGCTCTGATCTTGCCATGTACTTTGGTAGCAAACGCATTCGATATGTCTTCAGCTCGGACCCACTCCAGACAAAGTCAAGAGCAAACTGACGATAGGGAGATCCTGCCTGCATTAGCTGGTAATATAATGTGTCTAAGAATATCTGCAAGCATGTCAAGCGAAAGGAATTCGAGTTCAGAATGTCATAAGCGAGCATAGATTCAATCGAATGGGACGTGCAAGCATTAAGACCTCCTGAACTCGCATGAAGCAGATTTTGTTTTAAAAGTTTTCCTTAAAATGTATTTTGTCTCAGTGTTGTGTGGAATAAAGCGTGCCTGTTTGTCGCCTTGACGAAGCTTCGGTCCTATCTCAGGATCATCGAGCATGGACAGTAGTGGGTTGATAAGTCTTGAAGTTGAAGGCCTTGAAGCTATTCTGTGATGTGCAAGACGCAATGCTGCCTGCACTTCAGGCATCCACCACTGTGGAGTTTGTGGCTGCTGTTGCTGCTTCTGCTCGTAGGCTTCTGAGTAGCCCTTTCCAAGAAACTCATCGGGATTAAGAAGGTCAATGTCATTTGCTTTCTCATTTTGCTGCTTCTGTCCACTGGTGGCCGCAGGACTCGGAAGGAAAAATATATCTGTTGGCTGATCGAATTTGTTGAAATACTCCGCGTATATTTCGTCAAAACGCCTCATATACGACGTCACGGGAGCTAACTCGGAGATTTCAAGGCCCAACTCTAGCTTGGAAAAACCGAAAATGCTAACGGCTGCAATGGTCAAGAATATCACCAGAACTGCAATCTGTGCAAAAAGCAACAGATAAATGAATACAGGCAGTAAGCTTCAGCATCATTAAACAACGCCTTTAGTAGCCCCAAAATGAGTGCAGCACTTAGAGTGGCAGCAAGAGAACCCATTCACTTTCCTTGTGCTGCAGATTTGGGGGGCCCTAACCTTCACAGGCTTTCTCATCAAGAAGGGCCCGTAGTAGCACAAAAAGAATGTCCGCCACCTGCGACCGACAGAGCCCCGAGGCTCATCGTACAGCGCGTGCCTCGCGAGCTGTGGATTCAGACCACGCACAGTCGTTTTCAAAACCACCTCTTCTCCATTTTGATGCACGTTTAGGTGCTGGGAAATCCTGCAAATCAAATGGTCTTGAAGTAACACCACCTCAGGTTACCTTTGAAGCAACAGTAATAAATATCTTGTAGGACATGCTCAAAAGCTAACGCTGCGGTAGCCTTACGTGTATTTTAAGATCCTCTGTACAGAAGCTGCAACACGAGCTGGAAAATGGTGCTTTGTGTTGGGTTGCTCAATGTCCTGTCTCTCGAGCTTCCGGTGCTCGCGTTCCTCTTGCCTCATCTTCCTCCTCAACTCCTGTTCTTCGAAAAAGACTTTTACTCTGTATGCAACAATTTCCTCCTGAGAAACCGATTTCAGCACATTATGGACTTGGAGTTCAGCATGCCCCATATGCTTTATTTCGTCTTCCAGCTTTCTGTGGAGCTGCGACGTCGTTGGCAGGCAGAAAGGGGATATGCGTGAATAAAACTCTCTCTTTGCGTCAAGACAGAGAACAGGAAAAAAGAATGTTAACACAAATACGTAACCAAGAAAGAGAGCCATTGCGCTGTACACACAGAAGTTCCGGATTGAGAGGTATGTGCTGAATGAGCCAACTCCGAAGGAAATAAGGTTGGTCAGGGTTGTGATAGTGATACCCAGACCCGACGTCTTGAGCGTGTCAATGCACCTCTGTTCCGGATCGTGGGTAGTGTAGCCCATGCAATATGCATTTAACAACACAAACACGTCGTCCACACCTATTCCCAACACCAGAAAAGGACAGATGAGAACTGTTGGTACCATTGCCACTTTCATGTAAGACACAATGCCCATCCCTGCTCCAAGTCCCATAAACGCTGCAAAGAACCCCATTAGTGAGCTGAACAGCTTGGAGCGATATAGATCACATGAGAAATTGAGAGCCGTGGAATAGCTGGCGAGCAGGAAAAATGTGAACACAACGTAGACCACGTCCTTTGATTCTGCGGTAGAAGCTTTGAGTTCATCGTCTCGAGATCGGAAAGCCTGAAAGTAAGCTCGAAGATTTCCCAAGGTCTGGTTTGCCTTGAGAACTTGAATGAGGAGCCGCTCCCATGTCGCATTCCTTTCTTCATGCATGGGCCGCCCGTCGGCGTCATAGTGTAGCATGAAAGCGCTAGCAGAAGTGATGCATTCAATAGAACCCAGCACAAACGCGTCTTCAGGGGTGGGCAGCTCCCTAACAGCCGAAGGAGGAAGGAGCCTCTCTGCAACGGCCCGAGGCATTCGTCTTTCACATGCTTCCTTTTTGAAGCCTCCCAAGTAATACTCCGGGATGAACGCCACTTGCTGCACGTTGAAAGCGGTGCCGCCAAACAGCCACACTTCTGGCTCTCCCGTCACAAGACCCGCTGCCTTGTAGTCTGATAAGCCAAACGATAGGATTGATTCAGCCGAGCAGCCGCCCAACGCGTTCCGGAGGCACACATCCTCAAAGGTAAGAAAAGCTGACTCATCCGTCACTCTATGTTGACCGGGGGCTGCCGGCCCCCCTTGTTCTGGACTATTTTTGCTCACATTTGAAATGACATCTGGCGAGCGCGGGATGACCAACTTGCGCCCCATTTCTGGGTCTGTGTCCTTTCCCTGAATTATGGCGTCGATGCGTCTCACCTCCTCCAAGTTTTCCCAAGTCAGGATATTTGTGCCTTTGACGCGATGGGTAAGAATAACAACACTTTTCCTGCCATGGACGTCTCCAAACAGATTTTCATGAAGAATCCCATCGTCTCGAGCACGAGAGAAGGGCAGCGTGTAGAGACGCTCTGCTCCGTCAACCCAAATAGGGGTGGGCGGAAGAAGCCCTGTCGACAGAATGATGCATGCGAGAAGAGACCCGCATATAACTTTGAGCGGGTGACGGAAACAGATTCCTGCCCACCATGCAAAGCCATCTCCAATAGACTCAACCACCCCATGCTTCTGGCTCAGCAACTCCCCGCAAAAGTGCCAAAATGCCAGCAGCCCCCTCCACACGCGTGCCCGCACTGTCATCTTCAGTGAAACAGGCAAGGAAAATATTTCGGTTAAACAAGAGAGCGTTTAAAAGCACTTGCCCTAACCATAAATGCCTATGGTAAGCTTAAACGCAAGGAGCCAACCCTAGGTGGCAACAAACGAGTTACCACCTTTGTTTGAAGACCTCGGATACCTTTCCCGAGCAGTAGGCTGGTACAGCTAGGTGTTGGAATATCCAGATCCTAGTGCTACCGCCTAGTCAAAGGAACACCGAAATTCATGACGACCTGGCGTTTTTGCGGTGACGAAGATGGCACAAACTCGAAGATGCCCCGTTGCTAAGAGCTACTGTGCTAGCGTTCTCCCAGGAAAACTGTTCCTGGGTGTCTGCTGCTACTCCAGCTCAGCTAAAGTTGCTGACGCTGGCGCTGTTACAGTGAATGGTTCTGCTGCCGCCTGTTGTGTTCCCCATGAGGGGTACGCCCGTTGGTCACCACCGCCAACGGCATTAGGTGACCCTACAGACAACCTCCTTGTGACCACCTCAACTCTTCTCCTTCTCCCAAAATAGTGGCTTCGAATAAAAACAGGAGTACGCAGGATGCCAATAGAGCGTACTTTGGTTGACTTTGTGGGAAAGTCGGCTTGTTTTGGGTCCACTGTGCCTGCTCTCCGCACCAGAGCAGGTAGCCGACAGAGGGAAACAGCTACCAATGAGTTACTTTAAATATTTGTGGAATAGGTGATTAAAATTTGAAAAGGCAGAATCGGGGGTTTTCCTATGAAAAATGCCGAGGTTGCTGCTTTTGCAGGATTGGTGGGAAGGTGACCTGCAAGGGAAACCCCACAGGGAATGGAGAAAACTAAGTACCCATTAAGGGTCCTTCAAATCCTGCTTCAACATCTACTCTAGTGCAGTGTAGGGCAATAATTTCTTAAAAACTCAAATTTCTCCCAACGAAGACCCCAATCCCCCAGCCCGTTTCAATAGAATATGGGCGCGTCGCGCAGGACCGTCGCAACCAGCAGCCGCCACTGGCACTGATGCGGTCCTTTCTGCGCCAAACGAATTATCCCCGCTTCTCGGATTCCAATGAATTTTGATCTAAACAGAACAGAAAATATCACAAGAAATGATCGAGCGAATATTCTCCCTGGGTATGTGTACAGGAAGTTCTGTGCCAGTAGAGGACGCACTTTGGCGAAGCTCTTGTGTATGCCATGAAACCCCACGGAAGATACGATTATTCACCTAATTAGATACACAATTATGTGTGTAAGAATGCTGAGGGCTCGGGAATGTGGTGATTAATCGCTCTATTAGTGTCACATATCGCACGGCAACTTGGCACAAGGGTACTTGCAGAGAAGAATTCGCCGAGAGCGAGGAGCGTTTCTTTAGCATTTTATTGGTGAGGTAAACCTTTTTATTTCTTGTGCAAATAATGTTTAAGCACATTTCACCAATTTCGCTAGAGTAAAATGTGCAACTCCAGCCTCCACCAAAGCTCGCGGCTTTGGCCCGCCGCATTTCACTGTGATGAGACTGGGGTTGAGGTCCGTTTCGACAGGTCAGCCTGCTGATCACTTCGAGTGCCATATATACACTCTCGTCCTTTCTACAAACATTTTGAGTGAAGAAGCTTGACAAAGAGGCGCATCTCACGCTAGTTTGTATTAATACGAGACGTCAGACGCCAAGATGACAGGAGACCATTCGATGGCTCTATAGCGGTGCTTCTTCACCAATATTACAAACTCGAGGCTTCTCTCTAAGCTACACTTTTTGGCATAACGTATTTACCACATTAAACCATGGGACGTCCCCTTGATGATTAAGTTCGTTATCAGAGGATGTGTTTGAATCCCAGTGCGCAACCTGCGACACTAGCGTCTCTCCAATCTCAAAATGAGAAACTTGGAATGCCCTTGTGTTCTGCTCAAAACTGCTCAATAACTTCCTCTCTGCTGCATTCCACGGCAGGCAGCTCCCTCTAGCGTAGATATTTGCGTGTCCCCTATTGTTATGTCGCCGTGGAACCCCACGGACGTGTTTTACTAACAGCGGCAGTTAAGTCCAATTGCTCGAACCAGCACATGTTGATCCCTATGCAATGCTTTTACAGTAAACAGAGCTGACATTAGAAGAGCCTGTTCTCACGATGAGACGCAGTGAGCAGTTCTGCAGCCCTAGCAAGATCCAACAGCACAGCAGTAACAGCAACTCCCACTATGCATAGCGAGCAAAGTTGGCAAATCATTTGGCCCCTTATGGTTCGCTTGTGAGATGATGTCACTTCTTGATGGTGTGCATGCTCCCAACTTTTCGTCGCTTCTCCTTTTCTTCTGCATCACGTTGTTTGCGCTTCTTTCGCTTTGGCCTCTTCGAATCCCTTCCTGCGTGCTGCAAGGGCATTTCAACCACGCTTGAGTCGCTGCCACTGCTCCCGTCAACAGTGATGAGCTCGGGCTTGTCGATAGGCTCATTTGATGCGCTTATTCCTGGTGAGGCTATCCTTTTTAACTTAACATCCGATGCAGACGGACTGCGCCGTGCAGCCGTTGTAGCGGTGGCACTCATGGGGACTAGACGGGGGCTGCTACTGGGGGAAATGGTGTTGTCTCTCTCAATAGCGCCGAAACGTCGCGGGCGCTTTTGAGGCCGCTGCTGTAGCTGCCGTCGCATCCACGGAAATTTTAGAGATTCCTCAGCTGAGTCGCTATCTGAGCTTACGCTGTATTTGTCATTGTCGTCGTCGTTGTCGCACGTGAGGACATCATCTTTTACATCAATGAAGGTTCTGTTTGATCGTTTCACATTCACCCGCTTGTCTAAAGCCTTCATCAGGCTCTTAGAAGAGGTCAAAATACGCTGAACTGCCCCTTGTGTTTTTTTCTGGACGGCTTTCGTCACCCAAATGCCCGGCCTTTGGGTCGCAAGCCCCCTAACCGCTTCCTGGCCGTTGTTGCTAAGGCGGGACTTTGTTGAGAGCTCTTTTGGCCATGAATCGCCGAAAAGGCAGCATAGCAGAGGCCTTGACACAGCCGAAACGTCAACGCAGGCGCTGCCTGGATCATCTTTCTCTGGAGCTCCGCGCCGGACCTCTGAAGCCAGCCGGCAGGCTAGCCGCTGCTCACCTCAACAACACAGCAGGACAGCAGGGTTTGAGTGTGGCGAAGAGGGGCTGCAGAACAATCCACGGCAAGAAAAATGTAATAATTTAACGGAACAGTGCAAGTGTGGAAGGTCAAGGTGTCTAGGAGAAGACACAAAACACCAGCTCCCCTACTTCCTGGGCCTCACCAGGTAGGCCCTTCTCCATACAGCGCGGACGGCCATTATCTTATATGCTGTTGATCCAATATCTCGGTTCCGGTCCTATAAAAATGCAGGCAGCAGAAAACAGATCCATTAAATCCAGAAGCAGCTCACTGCCTCTCTTGTTCAACTCGCGCCACGCATCTGTTTCTGTGATCATAAGGGCCCGAGACTCGCACATCTCAGTCACAAGCGAGCCGCACTATGCACGAACAAAGAAGGTACGGCTGCTACAGTATAACACCAGACAATTAAACATACCAAGGGACTCTCCGCACTTAGCCTCAGCGTCTGCGCTCCTCGAGCGGCACCTCGTTTGGGCCACAAGCTGCCGTTGTCTCGTACGCTGCATCAGCGAAGATGCACAGGGGGAATTTCTGTTGTGGAGATGGGGATGTTGTGAAGAGGCCTTTGAAAAGCAATAATTGATAAACACGAGTGCTCGCTAGGCTGAAACACATTTCTTTGATGAAATGGCGCAGTACAAAAGGGCGGAAAATAAATACCTGATGGTGTTGTGTGCGTAATTGAACTGGCAGCCGTAGTAGTGGAGAAACTCAAACAGAAGGTGACCAAGATTCAAATGGCGTTGCTGCTTGGCATCCCGAAGCCGGGGGTTGTTTTGCAAGAAGTGCAGACACTGAAAACATTTTGGCAGTGCCCTCGAGGCCAGCAAGTAGAGCAGGTGCTCCATGAAGACGTATTTCTAAAGCGGGAGTGGCAGCCAAAGGCACGCTTTGGTAGCCCCAGAAAGCGCAAATCCAACTGTGCGCCAGTTTGTTTGCTTGCCGGCTATTCCACAGATCCAACATTCATATTTGGCTACGGCTTCTACTAAAGTTGTTATATTTTGTTATATCCCTAGCCTTGAATAGCTGAAACTAAGATAGATAGATAGTGTCTCTTACCATTGCGAACAGTAGGTAGGAGCCAACGCCCCCTTTGAATGGCTCATGGAGGTCCAAGTGCCGCAATAGCAGCTTGTTAATTAACAACAGGGGGCGCAGCAACGGAAATTCATTGACCTGCACACATGCATTAACAACAGCAGCAGCGTTTTCGTCAAGCGCTCTTGCACCAACACTGATCCTGTCACACGGTACGTTTTGGAAACGGCGCCGGGTTGAGCGACGCTGTTATAGCCTCTTTGGGCTGGGCGGTCGAGCTGTGCAGCTAAAAGTAGAGTCGTAGAGTCCCCATTGAACCATACACCCCACCTGCCCCATAATCTATCGAAACAAGCGAGAGCCGCACCTTGAAGCGGACGTAAAGAGATGTGAGGAGTGCCGATGGCTGGTCAAAGCTAACATCTACAGACACGCCCGTCGCCGCATCCCTGAACTTGCATATCGGCACTCTCGCCTTCAAGATTGGCTCAATGCGCTCTGCAAAGATAGCCGGCCCCCGTCTTGGCCGCTGCGCGCGGCCACCTCCTCCAGGAGGACCTGATGCTACGGCGCCGTTGAGCTCGCGGAGTAGCCAAACAAAGAGCTGTGCCAGGAAAAACAGCCGCAGGAACGGCGGCAGCACATTTGTAGGCAGATCAGCAACAGCACATGCCTCTCCTGCAGGGTTAGGACTCGTTCATAAACCGAGGGCTGAGGCCTTGGGCACAGGCAAAGCAGGCATGCCTAAGCTCTGCGCTTCCAGTTGCGCCGTGTGTGGCGTAAATTTAACCTTTTGACTTTAGTGTCTGGTGAATGCGTGGAATGTCTTACACAAATATTGTCAACCTTTCGTGCACGATCGTGGCTGTCCTCCCCCATATCCTCCGCCGCTGCTCTCAGGAGCTGCTGCAACCCCTCAGCACCTCCATGGGGACAGCTGCTGCTGCAAAGCCCCCTCCCCTTGGAAGGAGATACACCGTGGCGAAAGCAGCAGCACCTGGTTGAGCTTGCTGCCTCACGGCCACAGGTGTCAGCTGTAGGGGCCACTGGAGTCTCGTTTCGGTTGCTGGGCCTGCAGTCACTCCTGCCAGAACAGCTGTTGCTGCTGCCATCGTTATTGCTAGAACTATTGTTGGGGCTTTCGCTGCAGCAGAGGCACTGGCTGCACCTGTAGAGGCCTAGGCAAGGGGGCTTTGTGTCCGCGAATACACACAGATCTAGATCACTTCCCGGAAGATCTAATGCCGTAAAGGAGGAGCCAAAGACTTCCACGGAGCAAGACTCAAACAAATGAGAGCAAACAGCCAGCACTCTCCCTGCTGCCTGTGGAAACCAGCACAAACAAGCACCTGCGATGCATTTGCCATCGCAGATGAACAGAAAAAGTTTAAGCATGCGGATTTAGATAAACACAGGAAGAAGTACGCGAAACAAGTGCCCCACTGTAGCAAGGATACACAAACAGCGGCTCCGAGAAGCAGCAGCCAATTACAATTCATGGAAAAACGAGACGTCGACAGAGCGACTTTACCAACGCTGCAGGAAACTACTTGCCAAGAACTGTTGCTGCTACTGAGGCCACTGCATCTGCTGCAGCTACTGCTACCGCAGCAGCAGTACCTAATGCTGCTCTTGGGAGTACCTGCGCTGCTGTTGCGAAGCGCTGCCTTAGCACTTGCAGCTAACTTTAGTCTCACCTCCCTCTTTTTTGCGCTTTCTTCTTCGGTGGGCCTTAACATCCTTATCACCTCGAGGCACTCTGCATGCAAGCGTCCGAAGAAATCTGCACCTGCAGCCACTGCTGCTGCCCCCGCTGCAGCGACAGCAGCAGCCCCCGGCGATGCTACTGAGTCAGAGTGGTGCCTGCTATGGTGCAGTGGCTTCGGGCCTCTTGATGGACCTCTCTCCGACTGCCATAACCTGTTTCGCCTATCATTTTGTTGAAGCTCTTGCTGCTGCAAGCGCAGTAGCTGCTGGTGCTGCTGCAGCTGCCACGGCTGCAGCGGCCTGTGGGGAGGAGACGGCGAGGATTCCAGCAGATCCGGCAGTGACATGAATTCTGCCAGGGGATGAGCAGGACGTTTCCTGTCACCTGGTACTGGCACTTGTGCAGCTTTCTGTGCTGCATCACTCTGAACAGTGGACGCAGCATCAAGCGCCGCGGCAGCAGCCTCAGAAGCAGGATCAGAAGGCTCTGCCTTTCCTTCCGGGGCAAGTGAGCCTACACAAAGCCCCTGGTTAGGCGCTAGGGGGACGCTGATGGCTGCCTTGGCCACGCGCCGGGCCCCTAGAAGAGATCGTATGTTTTGATTGGCTGCTCGTTGCCGCTGGATCTTCTGCTCGTCTACCAACACGTATGCCTCAGCCCCCATTAGCTCCACAGAGGCACTATTCGAGGGAGCTTTAGAAGCTGCTGCTTCATTGGCAGCAGGAGAGGAAGCCCGCGTGACTGCAGCTGCTGCAGGTAACCTTTTATGGGCCCCCGAGGAGCAGAGGGCCCCTGTTGCGGGCATCGCCAGTTCGTGGCAACAGCCCTCCCAGGATGACTTTGAGGAACAAGATGACCACTGTGCTCTTTATATGGGTACGGAGGCTACAATAACTCTCCTGGAGGTACTGCTCGTGGTTTGAGGCCCTCCCTGGGATTCCGTTGAGTGCGGCTTGCAGCGGAGGCCCTGGGCTTTGAGGCCCCTTAGATAAGCAGACACCCACTTCGTTAGGGATGCTGGAAGTAGCTAGTGGGTCTGCAAAGAGCAGGCTCACCTTGTATCAGTTCACATCTAGGCGCAGCTGCTCATGAGGTTTGAGAATTGAGCTCTGTTAGATCCGGCTATCCTACGACCCGCCTCTGGGCTGAGCTAAGGAGGCGACGGGCTATATAAGCAGCAGCCGGAGCTTGGGGAAACGCTATTTACAAGGCTGCAGAATCCGCCGTGCCTGAGGGCCCCCCGGGGCCCCACCCAACGATGGTGGGGCCCTGGCAAATGAGGCGGGCCCTTGTTCTGAGTCTATTCTTCGCTAAGTAAAGCGAACAGAAAAAACTGCATTAAATGCTACAGTAGAAATTCAAGCCAAACAAAGTACTAGCTATGGAATCTGTGTTACTGACTAGGAGCACAATAGGACAGGTTGAGCTTGTGGCCTGTGGGGCCGTGAGCCCTTTAGCTCAAGGGGCCCCCTTCAGTGAAGCCCCATAGAATTCAAGTCACTTTCTATCTGTGTCTTGCGATAAATATCACGTCATAATTCAATTGGTAACACCGAATATACTTTCGTACTAGCTGGGGACCACAAACCAGTCCGGCAGCCTGGCAGGGCATATGTGGAGTGCTCGCCCTTCCTCGCGTGCCCTATTATCTGCCATTCAGTCTACTTAATTGGCCACATTTCCTGCATTAAAAAATCAAGTGCTGCACTCGGCACTAGCAATTGCGAGCGCGACGCCGCCTCTGGACTGCGCTTGGTCAGCTTCTCGGTCTACAGATCACTTGCTCATACTCACGAACCAGCCGTTGGTGCAGATGAAACAGGCATTCGTTATTTAAACTAAAAATATTTTCTTTTTTGTGGCTGCGCGAATGGAGCCGGTAATCAAAAATGGTTTCAGGTGCTGCAGCGACAGCCACTTACTCCCTACTCCCTAAGGGGAGCTTACGACTCGTACATATCTCCATCTGAGCTACAGACCAGGAGCAAGCATCATAATAAAGTTTTCTCCTTGGCGTGAATGCTTGATGTGCCTCTGCACTTGTGTACTCGTGCGCTTTTGACGCATTTGCCTAGATCCGCTTGGAAGAGGCTGCAACCTCAGGGGATGCGCTTGCGCGGAACGCGGCCATCTCCTTCTTGAAGCTGTATAGGCCAGGGATAAATTTTTGACGACCTGGATGAGTGGTGCCTTCCTAGGAAAGCCACTACGTCAAAACTGTAGGGTTCTCAGAAGCAGTGGAGAATCTTCAACCTTACAGTCATACTAATGCGCCGAATGCCAAAAAGTTCAGGGCTCAGCACTGTGGCAAGATCATTCGCAACGTTACTTCATCCGAACATACTGCGCCAAAGTTAAGCTGCTACGAATGGGAGTGCACATCTGACGACGATATAAGAAGCATGCCACATTAACGTAACTTATGTTCCGCAAATCGAAAGCACGCAGTTTCATACTACTCCACTGCGGGGAAGCAGCAGATCGGCACAACGCGCTGGCTGGGAAGCGGAGGTTCATACAGTCTTTCATTGTTTCTTCAGAGACTCATCCAGGTGGTAGCAGGGGATCCAGGACGGGTGCACTGGTGCATGTAAGGGTGGGGTATACCCTTATTGCTTCTGCTGGCAGATTGCACATTAGAGAACCCGTGCCTGCTACTATCCATTAAAAGTCTGCCAGGAAGGGTTTGGTTCCTGCTTTATGTCCTGGAATGCATCATGAGCCGAGCTAACACTCCCAGGGCTGGCTCCGTGTGGGGATGTCTTTCCTTCAAGAGTTCAGTGGTGTATTTTTCCGCGCGGGACTGGCGGCCTAAAATTTAGCATATGGCAGTTCAAATTATGTCACCTCATGGCACGGATGAGACCTGCTTTTCCCTGCAGATGACTTTACTACGCGTTTGTTTCTGTATTTTTGTCTATCTTTAATGCCTCAATCTTTCTTTATTTTCGTGGATTCAAGAATTTCTGTGTAAATACTGTGCCCCTCTCCCGTTCCTTTATGCCTGCGACCATTATTTCCTTTGCTTTCGTTTTTGGTGAAGACGCAGTTGCTAAACCGGGACATGCGCGGGAGTCGAATCAAGCTATCTACCGTTCAAAAAGCAATTTGCAACAGACCGGTCGACTGCACGCCCCAAGGAACACTGCAGAATGGACTGGAGTATAACCTCCGCAGTGGATATTACAGGACTAAATTGCTGTAAAGCCTGACTTTTCGCAATCTTCCGCTGATCGCAGAGCCTTTTGATCGCCGAATTGAGTCTTCACAGTTCACATCCTCCAAGTCTCTCTGAGATAGCCCAAGAGCCCGCAATGTCCCAGCTGCCTGCGTATCTTCCGCACCTTCAGCCTACCACGTTGCCAGGGGCCTGGTCCTTCTTTATTGTATTCATATTTTCTAGCGTTTCATTACAAGTACTTTCAAGGAGGCCCCCCCACCTGTTATGGAGAGGAGCAGAAGGGATATAAAGGCAAAAAACCCGGAGACTATTTGTTCTGTCACGAAAGCCGGCCATTCGCGATTTCTAGCTGCACCTGAACGGTCAGGGTAGGCATGAACCGTTTCACTTTGCTTTTCTTTCTGAGAAGACGGTGTGGCCCCCTGCGCCGGAGTGGTGGGCCGAGTGCGAATTTCATGTCAGGCACTCACCGAAATTCTTGACTTTTTCCCACGTTGAGCTTGTTAGTGGAGGAAATCTGGGTAAAGCTTATCCTGTTACTGCAAGGCACAATTATAGAGATGAAATGTTGCCTGTTGCCTTTTGGGTTTGTCGCACGCGGCCCGCCTTTAGGCATCCGCCGGTTGACTCATTCTGAAGCAGAGATTAACGAAGGAAATAGTCCTGGCATAGTAAATAACTGTGCATAGAGAAGCATAGCATGTTATTTCAATGCGCTCCTCAGCTGAAACTTCCCAGGAACCTCAGTCGGTGTCCGTTTTGAATGACGAAGAGGCTTTGCCCACTCTAAACCGCACGCACACGCCTAGATTTGGTCGGCGGCACCATGTTTCGATTGAGTTTAGATTGGATTTCCCACTTTTAGCCGCAGAGGTTGTTTTCTGCCGCTGCCTCATATAGCTGTTGGTTTCCACCCTCGCTGTGGCGTAGCTGTGAGGTTTTTTCACCCAGCTGCTTGGCTTTTCGTGGGTTTGGGGACGCTTTTTTGTGGCTTGCAGTGAATCTGACGTGGAAAGATAAGTATGGTCTAATGAGTCAGATGCCAAGAAAGCAGGCACGCAGTAACCCGGCTCCTCGAGGGCAGGACGCTGGGGGGCCCCGCTGCCGACCGCCACTGCAGTAGCAGCAGCAGCAGCAGCTGGCGCAGCTAATGCTGCATGTCTTGAATCTATGTGCTTCGTTTTTGTTTTCTTCAGATTTTTTTATTTTTCTTGGTGCGTCCAGCGCGGCGCGCTTTAGAGACTTCATCTCTTTGCTGCTGCGCGGCTGCGGCTCCCGCTGCAGTGTGCAGCAGGAAACACTGGCGAGTAGTCAAAGAGCCCCGGCGGTTCCTTTCCCGTATATTCTCGTTTCCCCTTTGGCATATAGCGCCTAATGTCAATTGGCAGCAGTTTTGCTGCTGCCGGAACCCATAAAACTGGCGGCAGCACACATGCTAGCAGGCGAGCAGCCGGAACATCCGGGAGGTGGATTTTGAGGTGTGCGGCAGCAGTGGCAGCAGCAGCCGCACGAACAGGCTCTTGCTCTGGGTATTGCATCTTGCAGGGGCGTATGCAGCTGGATGCGCGGGCTTTGGGGCCCAGCTGTTGCACGCAGCCGCAGAGCCGCGAGTAAGCCCCTCCGGCTACGGCTGCTGCAGCAGCGGTCCGCCGGCGCAGAAGCAACCACACCGGCAGACGCTGCTGCACATAAGCATGGCGGGCCCCTGCACGGCCTGTGGTGAGTCGCCTGCTGGTCAGCAGGAGCACACCGATGCCGACAGCTGCGTTGACACAGCAGCAGGGCCAACTTCCCATGCGAAACAGAGCAGCAGCAGCAGACGCAGCAACAGGAGAAACGGCCACGACGGGAATGGTAGCAAGCTCCGCGAGATGAAGGAGCTGCATGCTTCATTGAAAGCCGAGCACTGGGCCAGCAGGCGCAGTACCTACCGCAGCAGCAGCGGAAGCAGTAGCAACAGCAGCGGCAGATTCCACGTCAAAGGCAGGGCCGACGGCAACGCGAACATTAGGGAGGATTCAAGGCGACGCAGCCGCTACCGTGAGCAGCAGCAACCGCATCAGCTGCTGCTACCGCACCAGCAAGTGCAACCTAAGGAGGAGCCGCAGCAATCAAAAGAACACCAACAGCTTCAGTGCACGAAGCTGCATCTGGGCAGCAGCAGTAAGAGCAGCTCCTCTGGCGCTGCAAGGCCTGCTTCTGGCAGCAGCAAACGCCCGAGCACTTTGCTGCGCCGCCTGAGGGCTTTGGAGGAGAAGCTGTTGCTGCACCGCGACCCTCCTGAGAACAGCGGCAGCAACAGCGGCAACAGCAGCGCCGGAAGAGGTAGCACTGCTGCAGGCCCGAATCTAGTTAGTGCGCTGCAGCAGCAGCAGCAACAGTGGCGAGAGTCGACAGAACCAGCGTCTGTAGAAGCAGCTGCTGCTGCCGATAGAACCAGCCCCTCGTGGCTTCAGGAAAAGTTGCTTGGAGCCGCCGCAGGTGGAACCAGCAGCAGCAGCAGCAGCAGCCACAGCAGCAATTGCAGCGGCAGATGCAGCAACAAAGGCGGAGACAGCTGCTGCAGCTTGACTTTGAGTGACATAGCTCGCGGTGTAAGCCCTGCAGCAGCAGCAGCAGCAGCCACGGCAAACGACGAAACGCAGCGGAAGGCCAACACAGAACACAGCAGGCTTTTGCAGCAGCAGGAGGAGCAACAGCGGCAGCAGCAGCAGCACCAGCGCTTGCAAGAGCAAGATTTGCTGCTGCTGCCTAGCAAGGTATACAGGTCGGAGAAGAGACGCAGCAGCCGTAAAAGCCTCCGATGGAAGCAGCAGCTACAGCTAGAGAAGCAAGAGCATGACACGCATGACATCCTGAGCAGCAGAGCTTCAAGTAGCCTCAGTTTGCAGCAGCAGCAGCTCATACTGCTGCAGCAGCAGCACCACGAGCTTTCTCTGCTACTAAAGCAGCAACAGAAGCAGCTGCCGCTGCAGCAGCACTCTCGGTACGACCGGTACACGACTCCAGCAACAAAAAAAGAAAAAGTAGCAGCAGCGGCAGCGGCAGAAACGGCTGCTCCTGGTGCTGCTGTCCGCGGCAGCCAGTTGTCTTCTCTTCAAGAAGAGCTGCGGTGTCTGAGGGATCGACTGTTGAAGCCGCTTCACGACGCCCGTGCGACAGCTGCTGCAGCCCCCCAACAACAGCAGCACATGGAATGGCAGCAGCAGCAGCAGCAGCACTATCCGGAGCAGCAACAGCGACAGCAGCATTTGCAGCAACAGCAGCAGCAACAGCAGCAGCAGCGAAAGCGAACTGAATGTGACGTGCAGCTGAGCGACCCACTTGCAAGGCCCCTTGGGGACTTCTTGGGGTCTCAGATGCCCATCTCTATCTTAAACAGAAGCAGCAGCGGCAGCAGTTGCAGCAGCAGCAGTGTTGCTGGGCTTGGGCCGCTGAGCCTCTGCCAGACTGGCGACAGTGGGCTGCAGCCACCAAGGCCACAGCAGCAAAAGTTTCAGCTGAAGCAGCCGAAGCTGCTGCCGCGGGAGCTGCAGAGCTCAGCGGGGAAGGCGGCGACTGATGTGGCTGAAGTTACTGATGCGGAAGCAGCAGCAGCAACAGCAACAGCTAGAACGGAAAGTGAGACCGTTTCAGGCCCACTTTCCCATTCGCAGCAGCAGCTGCAGATCTCTCATGAGAAACAGCAGCAGCAACATCAGACCCAGCAGCAAAAGCGCAGCCAGCAACAGCAGCAGCAGCTGGAGGAGGGCAAGCAGCACCTGCAAGGCGACAGTGCAGATGTGACTTCTGCTGCTCTGCCCGTCACGCGATCTTCAGCGCCCTGGGGTGCTCAGGAGAGACGCGACACTGCTGCTGCTGCTGCTGCTACTGCTGCTGTTGTCGTGGTGCCTTCCCACGTAGCAGAGCGCCAGCTGCGCAGCGCTGATTCCGATTACCGTGCTTCCCTGTCTGCAGCGGATGCTGCAACAGCAGACACCGCAGGAGGCGAATGCACAGGCAGCAATGCAACAGAGGTAGCAGCAGATGAAGCAGAGCCTACTGCAGCAGCAGCAGCACCTGCCTCAAGGGCGCATCCTGCGGTTGTGTATTCCAAGCCGTTTTCGCAGCAGAAAATGCACCGAAGACCCGTTGCTGCAGCTGCAGCTGCTGCCAGTGCTGCTGCTGAAGAAGCTTGGTGCGAGCCGCCTAGTGCAGCAGCTCATGTAGTGCCACGGGAGCTGCGGCAGCCGAGTTCCCCCGCTGGCAGCACGCGGCGCCACCCAGTGTCCACGGCAGCGGCAGCAGCAGCTAACGACGCTTCACTTCCTACTTTGCTGCTGGTGCGGCGGCCAACTGCTCCTGCTGCTGCTGCACGGGGAATTCATCAGACTGCGTCCTTGCGCTCATTCCAAGAAACAACGCTGCAACAGGAGCAACAGAAGCAACAACATCAGATCCAGGCGCAACAGGAGCTGGATGGAACTGCCGCTGCTGCTTGGAAGGATGACTTTGAATGCCGCGAAAAGCAGCAGCAACAGCAGCAATCGCCGCAGCAGCAACAGAACCGGGAGCAGGCCACGCAGCAGTGCACTCTTCAGAAGGCCAAGCTGCAGCCAAGTGGAGAGTTGGCGCTCGGTAAGGCATTGGAGGAGGCAGAGTCTCAAAATCACCACCGGCGGCAACTGCAGGAGCAGCAGCAAGAACAACGGGAGCAACTGCAGTCATCGCTAACCACCGAACGCCCTGCTGCTCATATTGTGAGCGACCGGCCCAGGGAGAGCAGCAGCAAGGAAAGCAGCGGCACCTTCACTGTGTTCTCACCACAACGGAAGTCATTGGCTGCTCCAGTTCCGGCAGCAGAAGGAGCAGCAACAGCAACAGCAACAACGGCAGAAACAGCAGCAGCAGTGACAGGCGTGCCAGAACATGAAGCGTCCGTGGCAGAGTTAGCAGCAGTCCCCTCAGCAGCAATGGCAGCAGCACCACCAGCAGCAAACTTGACCGCTGTTTCAACAGTCGAAGCCGTGTCAGAGCCAAAGGCCACTGCAGCAGCAACAGCAACAACTGCTCCAAAAGCAGAAACAACAGCAAGAGCAGGAGCTTCAGCTGAAACGATGGGAACGCCACCATCTGCGGCGGTGCGGCGTAGCCGTTCATGGGGTTGCGAATGCAGCAGCAGCAGCAGCTTCAGCAGCAGCTTCACCAGCAGCAGCAAACAGGAGCTGCAGCTGCTTACAGACCTTGTAGGGCTTACTGATGCCGCTGATGTGCTTCTCGCAGCTATAGGGGGTGAAGACGAGAAGCTGCTACCACTGCTACAAATGTCCAGGGGGCCCCTGGGGCCCCCGTGGACCACCAAGCCGATTGCTAGCCCTCGGGCTCCTCCTGAAGCGCATTTAAGCTATCAGCAGCAGCATAAGCAGTTGCAGAAGCAAAAGCCGCCGCAGCAGCAGCAGCGAAGAGGGCAGCAAGAAGTGGAGGAGCGGCATGGCGACCAGCGGAGGCCACGACGGGAGCAGCAGCAGGCAGCAGCAGTGCATGACGACGTCAAGCAGCAGCTATATAGGCAGCTGGAAGAGTTGCAGCAGACAGCGCTGCTGCGGGCGGGAGCCTCAGGCGCACCTGTGGTCCCACCCGGCGTTGTCTCCGCAGGTGAAGGACTTCTTGTTAGGTCTTCTTCCTTCAGCAGAAGCAGCAGCAGCACCATTAGCGACGGAGCTGCTGCGGCAAGTACTGCTGCTGCGCCTCCCCACGCTGAGTTTTGTGATACACCTGTCGTGGGGCCTTGCTGCAGCTTGGTGCCGACTCCGCAGCTTTCACCGACAAGCATGCAGCAGCAGCAGCAGCAACACCCGCTGCAGCACCAGCAGCCACCTGCTTTGTTGCCCTGGCAGCTGCAGCAAAGTCACCTTCAGGTGGCAATGCAGCAGCGCTCAAGAGAGTGGGTGCAGCAGCAACAACAGCAGCAACAGCAGCAACAGCAGCAACAGGAGATGCTCCGCAACCCCTGGCCCATGCCTGCTCTCCCCAGCAACTCGCCCTGTATTTCCCCATTTTCAATTTCAATTCAGCAGAAGCCGAAGCAGCTGAGTGCGCAGGAAGCAAAGCTGCTGCCCGCTTCAGAACCTGCTGCTGCAGGAGCAGCAAACAAAGACTGCACTGCAGGGACCCCCAGCTTGGCCTTCGAGAGTGGCTTCACAGATATTGGGGTATTGACAACAGCAACAGCCACACCTGACGCGGCGTCTGCTGCTGCTGCTTTCGACTGCGGCCCCGCTGTAGCTGATGACGCAGCAGGAGGCACAGCAGCAGCATCTCGCGCCTGCAGGCTGCTTTCCGAGGGAGAAGTGATGCCAGGCGAGCATAGCGGCCTCTCAGGTGTACGTACACCTGAAGAAGGCTCTGCAATAGCAGCACCAGCAACAACCCCACATTCACTTGTAGAAACAGAAGAAGAGCAACTCGGTGGTGCAGCAGCCCACAGTGTAACGGCGCCTGCAAACGTCTCGCCTGTGCTGGCAGCTGCAGCAGACGAGCCTGCTCGAGGCGCAGCAGCAGCTGCTGCTGCAGTTGCTGCTGCCGCTTCAAAAGCACAAAGGCAGCAGGCCCTTGATAAATTCAGAACCCTACAGCAGCAGTCTCCCGCAACATTGCTGTCACCGAGAGACAAGAGAGAGGTTCAAGAAGCCTTGCAGCGGCTATGCCTCATCGCTTCGCAAAAGCAGCAGGAGCAGCAACAGCAGCAGCAGCAGCAGCAACAGCAACGCCAACAGTTACAGCAGCAGCAGCAGCTGCTGCAGCAACACCAACGACATCAGTTGCAGCAGCAGCAGCAAGAGCAGGTGCAACAGGAGCAGCAGCAGGAGCTTCAAGGGCAGGAGCAACAGCAGCTGCAGCAGCAGCAGCAACAGCAAGTACAGCAGCAGCGGACACATGGCCGCCGGCGTTTCTCTGCAATCCACCTGAGCAAGAGCCCTAGAAGATCGTTAGCAGAGAACACCACGGGTCCTGCACCGGCTGCTGCAGCCGCGTCCGCAGCCGCAGTAGTGAAGGCGACAGCAGCAGCAGCGGCTGTGGGAACAGAAGCAACGGCAGAGAAGACACAGGAAGCAATTGCTAGCCATATTTATGCTGGGCCGGAAGCAGCGACACCAGCAGCACCGCTGCCCCCGTCTTCAGTTCTAGATGAGCAGCAGACCTTCAGGGCCCAACTGCAGCGCCAGCAGCAAACAAGAGGCCGTGCTGCTCAGCTAGGCCTTCGTCTTCTTGCTGCTGTTCGCGGAGGACGCAGCCGCAGCAGCCACCGTAAGCAGAAGGAGCGGCAGCAGCAGGTGGAGCAGCAGCAGCAACATATGGCCCAGCAGCAAGATACCCAGGCCATTGACAGCAGAAGACTCCCCTTAGCCGCAGACACAGCTACATGCTTCGCGTTTGGGCAGCAGGAGCAACAGCATGAGCAGGAGCAGCAGCATCTGGACCAACTGTGGCACCAGCTGCTACAGCAGCAGCAGCAGCCGCAGCACCTGCTGCCGCTCCAAAGTTGGGGTGTCCCTGTGCAGCATTCGGAACCTTTTCCGTCTTGCGTAGCCGCGGAAGCGCCTTATGCAGTTCAATCTCTTGCTGCTGCTGCAGCATCTGGTGCAGCAGCTGCTGGAACTGCGTCCGCTGATGGGAACGCAAACGTCGGCCGATATTTCTCACTTGCGGAAGCGTCAAAGGGAGTGACTGCTGTGGAGCCACAGCGCAGCAGCAGCAGCAGAAGCATAGGTGCAGCAGGTATAGTCGGTTCAGGCGCCGCGGGCAGTTTGCCTCCAGTACAGCGGAGTAACAGCAGCAACAGCAGCAGCAAGTTCTCCTTAAGCCGGATATTTAGGAGGAGGCACTCCGCTGCTGTGGGGTCGAACTGGGGTTCTTTAGGGGAGGAGACGCAAGCAGCAACCTCAGCCGCAGGTGCAGCAGCAGCAACGGGAGATCCTTGTCTCTTGTCTCAAAGTAGTGCTTGGCTAGTAACTTCTCCGCTGGAGCAGGTTCAGCTTCAGCTTCCTTGTGGTTTCGCTGCAGCAGCCGCAGCTGAAGAGGTCACTGCTGCGTACCCGCAGCACGAGCCTTGCAGGAAGTTTGCTCAGTTGTCGCAGCAGCAGCAGCAGCAACAAGAACGCCCGCTGCCTGAGCCCCCCTTGCCGCTGCAGCAAGAGCCCGAGCAGTTGCAGCAGAAGAATCAACGGCAGCAGCGGGAGGCAGCTACTCCTGCGAAGCCCCGACGATTCAGTTCGCCCTTTTTGTGGGGTCGGCGGCGCACAGCTGCTCAGTGCAGCACGTAATGGCAGCAACAGCAGCAGCAGCTGCAGCAGGTTTTGCAAAGCTGCTGCTGCTTGTGTCTGCGCAGTGAACAGTAGTAGGGGCGGCACGTGGGAGTCACACAAAGCTCCGGAAGCCCCAGAGCCTGAGAAGGGTGGCGGCTTTGTGTTTTAAATGATGAAACGCAAGAGTCGAATAGATTTGAAGAGAGCCAAAGTAGCTCAAGCGCAAATAAAGCAGCGCAGATAAGTGTAAATAGCGAAAGAAAGTAAGAGAAGCATGAGACAAAGACAGAGGTCATTGGGAGAAAGAGCCCGACGTAGCGGACACGCAGCAGAAACTCACCACGCCAGCAGCTCGAGGCAAAGCCCCTGGTTCCACATGCACATGCATGCAACGGATGGGCCTAGCAGCAAATGTGAAACCGAGCAGCAAGTAAGGGGCCCAGCAGCAGAGGGCCCCGCAGCACGTAGTGGGGGGTCGCTGATGGGGCGTTTCTTAGGCAGCTCGCCGCAGAACGGGGGCGACGCGCGAACGCCGCTCAAAAAGAAAAATGAGCTGATGCGATGAAAAGAACTAGAGAGAGATAAATGCAACTGATGGACTGAAGAGGAAAATGCCGCAACAGATTCGTGGTAAAAGCAGGAGGCTGCGGCCCAGTCCTACCCGTCCTAGCCAACAGGCATATGCACTTGGAAGTGTACACCCACGTTGAGACGCACATCATGTGTGCTTTTAAAAGCCTACGCGAGCGTCTACTATTAAATGCATGCGCGCAGGCACTAAAGTTTAGTCTGTTTGGCGTCGCGTGGCCCCATAAGATTCGCCGCGGAATTGAACTAGAAATAAATAATCGCTGCTGCGCTGCCTCTACCTGCGCGACAGCTACACACTGACGAATACTCCTTCCGCGTCTTCAAACGAGTTAGCAAGCACGTGACTACCAACTAGGGTTTAGGGTTTAGACCTTAGGGATTCGGGCTATCCAAGCTTATGCAGCTACTGCTGGTACGGAGCAAATGCTGAGCCCTAAAACGGCTCCCCACTGTCCACTAGGGGGACCCCAGGGGGACCCCAGGGGGACCCCAGGGAGACCCCAGAGGAACTTTTGAGCCCGCGGCCTTGCACTTCAGTGCATGCAAGAGGCTTATGGAGCCGCTGGAGCTGCAGAGAAGGGCCAAAAAGGCACTAGTACCGTGGGGTCCATACATTTGCAGTGTCTCGGGGACTTGCCAATGTGGAACGCCTCCAAAAATGCTAACTACAATTAAGCAAAGCTGCATAAGAAAAATAAGGTAACGAATATACAGAGAGAGCATGCCTGGAGGTTCCTCCACAGGCAAAGGGCCCCTCGAGCACCCAGCAATGGGGCCCCCAGCCCTGGGCGTTGTTTACCGTCACGGGGGCGGCTGCCGGTTTGGAGTTTCTTCTGCATTCCATTTTCTTTTTATTTTGCTCAAGTGCAACGAGAAAGACAGATTTCTGTGGCTACGTCGTGAGACCCTGTCACGCCAGGCGTCGCCTCTGCTGCTGCTGTTGCTGCAAGACAGCGTCGCGACATGGGGCCCAGAGCCCCTCGTGGGACAGCCGCGTTGGTGCTGCTGCTGCCCCTGCTGCTGCTTGTCCTGCCGAAACAGCAACTCCAGCAGCACCAGCAGCACCAGCAAAATCACCATGGGTTCCCAGGCCTCTTGGGGGCGGCTGCCATGGGCAGACGGGCAGGAACTCCTGCCTCTTTAGGGGCCCCTGGGGCCTCTGCAGCAGCAGCGCGCAAGCGCCCGCAGCAGCAGCAGCAGCACGTGTCGCTGTCGAGCCCCACCCTAGCCCCATCTACTGTCTTGCAGAGGCAGCAGCAGCTCCAACAGCAGCAGCAAGAAAATGGGCAGCGGCTGCATCAGCGGCAGCAAGTCAGGGTGTCCTCTATTGAAGCGATCTCATCAGAGGATGGTGGCTGGCGGCTTCAGCTGTACGTACACTCCACCCACCCGCTGCCCTTAGATACCGTTCTAGCTGCTCACCACATGGAGCAACAGCAGCAGCAGCACCAGCAGCAGCAGCAGGAAAGTGCATGTGCAGGTGCTCCCATCGCCGTGTCAGCGCCCGCAGGCAACCCAGTATATTCAAAGCAGCAGCAGCGGCAACTGCAGCAGCAGGCGCAGCAGCAGCAGCACCATAAGCGTGGAGGTTTCTTCCGTTACTACTTTACGCTAGCAGGACGGCCAGATGCAACAGCAGCAGCAGCAGCACAACTACTTGATTCTGTGCAGGATTTGGCGGATGCTGCTTCTCAGCATATCCCAAGACAGTTCTTGTTTGGAGGAGGGCCAGCAGCTCCTCTCTCAATGCTGCTGCTGCAACACGCCCATGAACTCCCTCCAGAGGTGGCAAGAGCAGCAGCAGCAGGTGCTGCTGCTGCAGGGGGCTTGCCATCCCTTTTGGCAACAGCAGCTGCTCGTCGCTACACACACAGCCGCACGCGGCTGAGGCCCCTCTGCAGGCGCAGCGGTAGCTGCAGGGGGCCCTCTGTGGGTCGAGCGTTACCTGAAGCCGTCTTAGCCAGTGATCTTGCAGCAGCAGCAGCAGCAGCAGCAGCAGTTGCTGGGGACGAAAGTGCTGAGAAGCCGCAGCGGCTGCATGCAGCGCTCTGTCTGCACTTTGGGGCTGAAGGGATGCCCCCACTGGAGGTCGCGCAGGTGTCCGTCAGAGAACCCACCGCCCAGGCGCAGCAGGGACAGCAACAGCAGCAGCAGCAGCAGCACCTGCAGCAGCAGCAAGGGCAGGACGCTCAGGTAGATAACGAAAGGCAATACCTGGAGAAGACGGAGCAAATGCGGTTGGCTGGGCCGCCGCTGCACCGTGAATCCTACAGCGCCGCCCTCCTGGAGCAGCAGCAAACGCAGCAGCAGCAGCAGCAGCAGCAGTCCCTCGAGGAAGGACCCTTCTTGAAAGGCCTTCTGGATGCCTTAAGTGAATCTTTCAGGTCATTTGCCGATGCTGGGGAGGCAGCAGCCGCAGCAGCAGCAGAAGCTAACCCGCTGCTGCTGCTAGGAGCTGCCGGCTGCTGTGCCTCTGCGGGAGTCGCCTGGGCCATGAGCCGCAGCGCTCGAGACAGCAGCAGCAAATGCATCGGGCCCTGCTGCGATGGTAAGCGTTTGCTGCTACTTGCCGCTGCTGCTGCTGCCGCGGCTTGCCTAGTAAAGCGGGCTAGAGGGGAGGGTTGGTGTTGCTGTTCTTGAGTGTGCATGCTGCTGTTGTTGGTGCTTCTGCTGCTGCTGCTGCTGCTGCAGGGGTGTATCAGGGAACCATTACTCACGGCAGAAGGGAACCGTCAGCGGCTCTTTCAGCACGTCAGGACGCAGCAGCAGCAGCAGCAAGCGGGCTAGCTGCTGCTGACCGCGTTGCAGCTGCCGTTACGTCAGCGCAGCAGCTGTGGCACTCGAAGCCCTCGCAGCAGCAGCAGAAGGCGCGCAAACCCCGGAGAAGGGGAGCAGCAGCAGCTGCTGCTGCCGCAGCGGCTGCGGCGGCCGGAGGCAGGGATATTGTTCCCAGTCAAGTGGTGTACGACAGCGTGTGGCTTCCAGCAGAGAGTGGCTGGTAACTCCGTAGCCACAGCAGCAGCACCAGCTGCTGCTGCTGCTGCTGGAGGGCGGCAGTTGCTGGCTGTAGCGGGATGACCTGAGCAAGCCATTCATGCTGTGCGTTTCTCCTGCAACTGCTTTGCAGCTGTACGAGCGGCAGCAGCACCGACAAATAGGAGCAGCTCCTACATTTTGCATCTTGTTGGATTCACCCCCTGCAAAGCGTACGTACTCCCGACAAAGGCCGCACGTTTGTTCAGCGGAGCTGTTAAAACGGTGCTGAGGTTTCTGGTGACTGCCTTGGGGCGTGGGCGGCAAGCGGCGCCTGCGCGGGTGGCAACGCCCATCACCTGAGCAGGTGACCAGGGTCACCTGCGCCGCTGGTGGGGCCTTTTCAGCGGAAACGCCGCGAAAAGGCCAACAAATTACTCTTTAACATTATAAGGTTTAGTTGGTTTACAGAGTTCCCTTCACAGCCACGCAGTAGAGCCGCATGTTTGCCCGCAGGCGTTGCAGTAGCACCACTGGTGGCTGGACCACCCTGGCGGCCCGCAGCCGCCTCGGGTCACGAGTTGCTCTTAGTTTCCATTTTTGTCGTTTTTAGTCTAGTTTGTCATACTGTAATAAAGTTTTGTGTCATTGTTTTGAGTTCTACTGACGGAAAACGATGAAGAATGGACACAGGTGGTTCGCGTTTGGCCGCTCGCGGGCGGCGGCCAGTGACACACCAGACCCCGCTGGGGCGCCTGAAAAACCAACGGCGGACCCCTGTCGTCTATCCGTGTCTTCTGTTGCACCTAAAAAAGCCTCTAAGCACAAGAACAATCATCCCGTGGGTCGCCCATCTCCCCCTGCCTCAACCGCGCAGCAGCCAGGAAGTCGCCCACAGCAGCCGCAGGATGAGCGGAAGGCAGGCCACCCCCTGCCGTCTTCTCCGCCTCTGTCTATCAACTCAACAGGCCCCAACACCCCACAAACAGCAGAAGAGGTGGGGCCCCAAGCGTCGTCGGAGCCCCCAAAGGCCCTTGGGGACCCCTTGCGAATACTGAAAGATTTCCCAGCTCTTCCAGCGCAGGCGGACCTCTTTGTGACTGCAGAGAGGAGCTTGAATGCTTCTCTTAGCAGAAACTGCAGAGTGCCTGCGGCTGTCAGCAGCAGCAGCAGCAGCAACTGCGCTGAGTGGGCAAGCGCCCGCCGCTGGGGGGAGATTGGCGCAGTGCAGACTCTAAGCCCCTCAACAGGGGCCCTCGTTTTCTTCTGTCCCTCTACTCCCCCTGATGTTGCTGCTGAAGAGACAAAGGAAGAACCAGGGGCTGCCCCCACTGCATGCGGCACAGCCACTCCCATCCGCAGCAGCAGCAGCAGCAGCAGGCCAGCTTCAGCAGCTGCAGCACCAGAAAGCGGGGTCTGGAGGGCACTTGTGCAGGTGGATGGAGGCGTTGAGAGGGCAGAGGCCTCAGTTGCCTTGTTCGGGTTTGCTGAGGCTCGCGCTGCAGCAGAGCTTGCTGCTGAGCGGCTGTTGCTGCAGGCAGCGGAGAGGCGCAGAGCCACCGGAGAGGTCGAGACCTTGAAGCAGCAAAAGGAAAGACAGGCCCGTGAAGTGCTGCTGGTGCGTCGCAACAGTAACTGCAGCTGCTGCTGCTGCTTGTTTTTCTCGCGGCTTCGAGAAACACGGCTGCAGTCCCAGCCCGTTGCAGAAATGACTGTGCTCATGCTGGTCGCTGCTGCTTCTGCTGTTGCTGTTGTTGTTGCTGCTGCTGCCGCAAACAGACACTAGCAGGAGCTAGCTAATGCCTTTGTTTTTGTTGCTGCTACAGCGTCTCTGCGAGCTGTTGCCTCTAGACTGCCTTCCTGCTGCAGCAGCGCTGCGGGAGGGCTGCCTCCGCTTGCTGCAGTGGCTGCTGATGAGGGCTTTGCTGTCCCTTCTAGACCTCGTCGATGTGTATTACCCACAGCAACAGCAGCAGCAGCAGCAGAGCAGCGGCAAGTTGCCGGCCAGCGACCAGGCACTGTTTGTCTCGCTGCTGAGCCACCACCTGTCCACGGTGAAGCGTGCGCGGGGGCCAGAGGCACTGTTTGGATACCTCCAGCTGCTGCGGCCTCCTGCTGCAGCTGCTGCTGCGGGGGAGCCGCAGCAGCCGCAGGAGCCGCAGGAAGGCACTAAAGCCCTTGCCAGTCTTTCGGGTCTCAGAGACGGCGCCGACTACATCTACACGAACAAAGACGGGCCCTACCTCTTGGACTTGCTGCTTTATGGGCTGCGCAGCGGCGGCACCGGGCAGCAGCACCAGGAGCAGCAACAGCAGCAACAGCTGTTGAAGTGGTGGGATTCAGACGAGACTCCAGCAAAAGCGGCAGATGGAGTGGACAACCCCTGGAGCCACAGCGCCTGCGGGGACCCTCCTTGTGGCTCTCAGGGGCCCCCTGCTGCTTACGAGGGGCCCCCCTCAGCAGCAATTGAGCTGCTCACTGGACACTCCCCAGTGAGGTGCAACAGCGGCAGCAGCCTCTGCTGCGGCGACCGGACAGAGTTCATCGACTGCAGCGCCGTTGGCGACTAGCAGCCGCGCAGCAGCCGCTGTGCATGCTGTTTGCTGCAAGCTTCTGCTGTGCTTTGTGTCTTCTGCCCTCGCTGCTGCTGCATTCGACCCTTCGGCTGCACTGCCGGCGGATGGCAGCAGCGGCAGCAGCTTCTCCTGCTGCCGCAAAGGCTGGCGCTGCTGCACCTTCTGGGGACCTTTTTGTAGGGATGGATGCTAGATGTCCGAGTTGCGCTACAATTGGCTAGCTGGACAACAAGCTTAAAGCTCGCTGGTCCATAGCTAGCCCGAAAGATGTCTAGCTAACCAGCAAGCCACTGGCCAGGCCGGCAGCGATCTCGCCAGCCAGCTAGCTAGCCAGATCGACAAGGAGCAAGCCGCACATCAGCTGGAGCGATGAAACGCTACGGGCCCAAAGCCGCGCTGCGTGCGTTGTTTCTGGGTAGCTAGCCAGCCAAGCGGCTAGCTGCGCCACAGCAATACACAGCTAGCTCGCTCTCTAGATGGCTAGCTAGTCTGCAGCACCGGAACCTTTAGACACCGTGCCTGGGCGTAATCAGAAGAGACGGAACCTTAAACACATTTATACGGTTGCTGCGGCGGCCGCGTTGCCGCTGCTGCTGCCAGCGATTGTGCCGCCGCCAATGCTGCAAAAGGGGCCTCATGGAACCCCAGGGGCTGCTAGGGCCCCCTTTGCTGTGCGGAACGTCAGAGAACAGAGTGCAGCACTACGCCAGCAACGCACATCGCCGCAGCAATGCCTTTGCGCACGCCTATGCACTGAGACTCCTGCAGCAGCAGCAGCAGCAGCAAGCCGGCATTTGGCGGACGTAGGTTTCTTTGCAGCACAGAAGAGCCACACAACTGCCGCCAGTGCTAAACAGGACACCAGTAAGCACAGCAGCAGCATATGCATCGGCAGCGGATGCAGTAGCGGGTGCAGTGAAAGCACGTGTAGCAGCAAGATGCGCAGCAACAGCAGGCGCAGCAGCAAGTGCATCAGAAGAAATTTCAGCCGCAGAAGCAACAACGAACCTGCACACTGCAGAAAAGGACATGGCTTAGCACGACCACTGCCGCTGCTTTGCAGCCTTTAAGAGCCCCCGAAGTGACAGCTCCTGTTACTCAGCACCGCAGCATAGGAGCGGCAGCAGCAGCTCTATGCAGCAGCGCCAGCAGTAAGTGTACCAGGAGCAGACGCAGCAGCACGAGCTCCCACTGCTTCAGCAAGACCTGAATGTGAGGCAATTTTTTCTGTACTAACGGCAGGAAGTGCATTAACAGCAGCAGCAAATGAAGCACCAGCAGCAGCAACAAACGCAGCAGCAACTGCAGCAGCAGGCTAACCTAGCCGGGATATTATATACCACATTGTGGCCGAGTGGAAGGCCCCACAAAGCAGAAGTAAAAAGAGAAGCATTGCGATGGTCCTTGCGTCTCCTCCTTGAGCCCGAACTCGACTTAAGATCAGCGTGTCTAGCTACAGGCACACACAGCTAGCCACAACATGCCACCGCTAGCCACAGCTAGCCAGCGCACGCGCCAGCACGCCAAAACACTGGACGCGCGATGCACATGGAAGAAAACATTCAGAGCTGCGGTACAAGCAGGGCTGGAGGCAGGGGTGGCAAGAATCTGGCTAGCGAGCTTGCCAGTTCGCAAGCAAGCTAGCTAGCCAGATACTTGACTCAGCAGCCTCCGCAGCAGTTCGCTAAGAGCCGCACCTGGGGCAGCGTCCACACACAAGTCCACACCAGCAGCAGCGCAGTGCTGATGGCCCTGTTGACGCACACAACACCCGCAGCACACGGAATAAGACTCTGCAACCGCAATAGCATAGACAGTTGCGGCGGCAGCAGCAACAGCAGCTGCGGCAGCAACAGTAGCTGCAGCAGCAACAGCAGCTGCAGCAGCAACAGCAGCTGCAGCAGCAACAGCAGCTGCAGCAGCAACAGCAACATACCCCATCATAAAGACCAGGTTGAGGCCAGTGATGGGAGCGTCTTCGTCCTCCATAAAGCGTTCGTTCAGCACGAAGGTCAGGCCTTGCTGCGAAGCAACACTCAGCCGGTGGGCGCTAGCTGCTGCTGCGGCCGTCGTTGCTGCTGCTGCTGCTGCTGCTGTTGCATTTGCTGCATCATTTTGCTGTATCTGTTGCCGTTGCTGCTGCTGCCATTGCTACGACCACTGTTGATGCCACTGCTTCTGCTACTCCTGCTGCGAAACAACCTTACAAGTATTGCAGCAAGTAGTGACAAGATCATTCCAAGAGACTCCTGGCTGCTGAAGGTGAGTGACAAATTCGATGCCTGAAGTGCAGCACGAGCAGCAGCAGCAGCAGCAAAGTAAACAGAACAGCAACAGAGGCAGCAACGGCTGCAACGCACCATGTAGCGAGTGCCTCTGGAACCCATGAAGCAACAAACTGAAAAACACGCCAAGACCCGAAGGGCACTGCAGCGAGCGTGCTACAGCTGTCGCCGCTGTTTTTCTTGCTGCTGCTGCTGCTGCTCCTGCGGCTGCTGTGCTGCTGTCTACCTTAATGGAGACGCCCGCAACGATTAGGGAGAGGCTGAAGTATTGGAGAGGTGAGAATTTCCTGCAGCCACAACGTATAAGTGCCCCATCTGCCATTATTAAGGTTGCTGCTGCTGCTGCTGCTGCTGCTGCTGCTGCGATGCCTGCTGCTGTGTCTGCTGCCGCTGCAGTACCTGCCTAGAATGAGGGCAGAGAGGACAGCAGTCCAAACAATGGAGGTGCTGCTGAGCAATATGTACACCCCAGAGCCGCACAGCACCAAGCCCGCTGCAGCAGGAGCAGCAGCAGCAGGGCAGCACATAGCAGCACAAGGTGTTGCTTTTGCTGCACTTGCAGCTTATTAAGTGTTCACCCAGTATGTCAGCTAGCTAGGAAGTTACATGGCTAGCTAGCCACTAGCTGGCTAGCCAGATAAGCGCCTCACCCTTCTCTAGCAGTTGGTGACTCAAATCTATTAGAGCCAGCCTGAAGGCTCGACGCCAAAGACGGGGGCTGGAACAGCAGGAGCAGCAGCAGCAGCAGCAACGCCAGCAATCAGAGCAACAGAAGAAGGCAAACGCAGCGACAGTGGAGGCAGTGGCGCCAGTGAACACGCAGAAAAACAGCTGGGCAGCAGCAGCAGCAGTTCCAGCTGCAACAGCAGCAACAGCAGCTATTAGTTTTCGTAGCGGGGCCCCGGAATAGCAGCAGCAGCAGCTGCAGTAGCAGTCACAGCTGCAGCAGCAACGACTGACTTCCGTAGCTGGGCCCTGGATTCGGGACTCTTGGAATCAGCAGAAAGCGGAAGACTGCCGGCGATGAGCATTCCGATGAAGTGCGGCAGCAGAAACAGGAAGGTGCTGGCCTGTACGTACACCGCAACCCAACACGCCAGTCAGCAGCAGCAGCAGCAGCAGCAACAGCAGCAGTAGCAACAGCAGCAGCAGGACCAGTCACAGCAGCAGCAAGAGCGAAGGAACCCAACTCACGCTTGCCACGCCCTGGTAACGGCAAAAGTCTACCTGCAAGCAGCAGAATATGCAGCACAGGCGAGAGTATATAGGCAGCTGCAGCAGCTGCAGCAGCTGCAGCAGCAGCAGATGCAGCACTGGCAGCAGCAACAGCGACGACCGCAAAGAAGGGGCTTACAAGGATTGGCTGTCCACAGTACCCAAAGAGAAAGACACAGAGGGCCCCGATGAGCTTGAGCTTCTCAGATTTGCTGCGGTTGCTGTTGCTAGTCTTGCTGCTGCTGCTGCTACCGATGTCGAGGGCTGCATCGCAGCTAGGCTTTTGCTGACACTTTTTCTTCAGCAGCGCGTGGCTGCTCTCCCCAGTGTGCTGCTGCTGCTGCTGTTCCTGCAGCAGGTGCTCTTTTTGCTCCATCGTGGCAGGGGGGAGGGGCCTCGCCGTGTTTGGCGCTGGACGGCCTAGGCTGAGAGCCGGGCTTGATTTAGTTGCTGCAGCAGCAGCGTATGCTGCTGCTACTGCAGGGGGTGCTGCTGCTGCTGCAGCGACCCCTGGAGGTACGACTGCTGCGCAAGATTCTGGGGTGCAGCAGGTAGGAGATATTAGCCGCTGCTGCTGCTGTTCTTCCACCTGCTGCAGCCCTCGTGACCACCAGATGTTTCTGTTCCCCCGGCAATAGTAGAAGCTGCTGCAGGCAATATCGATATTAGTGTTCTCCTGCAGGGGAAGCAGCAGCAGGCGCTGCTCTGCTGCTGAGCTCGGCTGCTCTGTGTGACTAGCAGCAGCAGGACTGACCTGACAAAGCAGGAGCCGCCGACTGATCAGGAGCGGCTGCGGCCGCAGCAGCAGCAGCAACAACAGCAGCAGCTTCTGGGATCGTCCTCCGGCTCGCCTGGGATCGTCTCCCGTGTCTGCGTGAGTCTTCAGACGGTTAGGGGCCCCCACAAGGCCTGCTGCGAATCTCAATTGCTAGGGCCTCCTGTGAAGCCAAGGCGCAGCAGCTTGGGGGCCCTGTCTCGGGCGCCGCCCAGCGTATCGAGCCGCCTGCGGCAGCGGGCCCCCACGCCGCCGCAGCAGCAGCAGCTGCTGCTGCTGCTGCCGCGATGGGGGACGTCTTTAGACCAAAAAAATGCGTGGGCGAAAGTTGGCTAGTTAATTCGTTCTTGCTTAATTTACTTTCCGTTTTAGTGCCCCCAGCAGCAGCAGCAGCACAAGCAGCAGCAGCAGCGCACGCAGCAGCAGCAGAGACTCCGCTGAAACGCCGCAGGGGCAAGAGGCCCCCAAGGTGTCGTAAGAGGGCCCCCCAACAGCAGCATAAATTCACACCGCTATTCTAACATTAGTTTCTTCGTAATACTTTAGATGCTTGTTTGCTTTGCTTCGCTGCTTTTGTTGTATCTGCTGCTGCTGCCGCTCTTCCTGTTGCTACACAGCTCGTTACTACGCAGCTGCTGCTGCCCTGCCTCCGCGGCAGCCTGTACGTACGGCAGCAGCAGCAGCTGCAGCAGCAGCAGCACCAGCAGCAACCGCAGCACAACTGTAAATAGGTTTTTATGCAGCTCAGGCTTCTTCATTACAACACTTGTGTCTGCAGCGGCTCTCTTGTTGCTGCTGCCTCCGGCACTGGGGCCCCCAGTTAAAACCCCACTGCAGCAACGGCAACGGCAGTAGCAGCAGCAGCAATAGCAGCAGCAGCAGCAGCTGAGCTGATAGATAAATCCAGTATTCTTCTGTACACACAGGTTCCTGGCTCGTAACAGCAAAAAAACGCCCACTGCTTCTCCAGTAGGAGCAGCAGCAGCAGCGGCAGCAGCGAGTTGTGCAGGGACTGCCAGCCACAGCCAGCCGTTGTCGCAGGAGCTGCTGCTGCAGTCGGGTCTCTCTCTTAGATTTGTCGCGTTATTAAATCTGCGTGACAGCAGAATCGGCGGAGTCTGCAGCAGCGGAAGCAGCAGCAGCAGCAGCCGCAGACGTCAACAGCAGCAACGGCTAGTCAAAGCCGCCGGTCGGTCTCCTTGTCCACCTTGTTTGCTTCACACATTTCCCCTACAGTGTACTGCAATCAAAGCAGGAGCAGCAGCAGGATTGCCCGCATAAGCACCAGCACCAGAGTTGGTCCAAGCAGGAGCAGCAGCAGCAGCAGCACACGCAGCAGCAGGAGCCGGTCGCCTCCGCGCTTGTCACAATGGGGAAGGTGCGTCTAGCTGGCTGACAGCAACGGAAGCAGATACGTTTCACGCGGCAGCACCTTGCTGCTGCTGCTGCTGCTGCTGCCGCTGCTGCTGCAGGTGCCGAGTCAGTGTGTGGAGCAGCTCGTACCTCGCTTGCGCGTTCCTTCAGCCGTCTGCGTGTTTTTGATAATCAATTCAAATTGATTATTAGTTTATTAATTTTAATTTTGTGCTGCTGCTTATTTCCCCTTTATCCGCGCCGCAGGACTACTACAGAATCCTGGGGGTGCCCAGAGAGGCCACAGAGGCGGACCTCAAGAAGGCATACAGGAAGTTGGCCATGAAGTGGCACCCAGACAAGCACGCGGACCCTGAAGCCAAAAAGAAGGTACCTAAACCCTAAACCCTAGACCCTAAACCCTAAACCCTAGACCATTACAAGGACATGGGGGTGGGGCCTTCTGCCCACTTTTCTCTTCGTGTCTTTCTTCTGTGCTGTTTGATTCCGCTGTTTCCTTAGTTGCCTCCTTTGTGCCCGTTCGATTCCACGGCCCTTTGCTCTCCCCTTTGCTTCAAAAAACCCTAATCCCTAAACCCTAAACCCTAAACCGTCGTTTTCTGTGCAGGCTGAAGCTCAATTCAAAGACATTGCGGAAGCCTACGATGTGCTGAGTGACAAAGAAAGGAGACAGGCGAGCACAAGACCAGGCCCCCTGAGCCCTGAGTTCACATCCTTAACCCGAAGGCCAGAGGGTTTAGGGTTTAGGGTCTAGGGTTTAGGGTTTGGAGCCTGCTTGTACAGATATACGACAAATTCGGAGAAGAGGGCCTTAAGGGGGGAGCCGGGGCCCCCAGCGGTGGCCCCGGCGGTGCAAATGTCTTCTGTGAGTTGAAGCCCCTAGCCGCAGCCAGAGGGAACTCCAGACCCTCAACTCTAAACCCTAAACCCTAAACCCTAAGCCCCATGCGGAGCCCTTGCGTCAAAGTCACAGGCAGCCTTAGCTGTAGACGAAGTCTTTTGTCGCTCTGCAGTAATGCAGAAATATTGTTTTCAGCCAGCGGCCACAAGGGGCTTGGGCGTAGGGTCTAGGGTTTAGGGTTTGGGGTTCAGGGTTTAGGGTTTGTGCGCACCAGACAGGGAAGTGGACCCCAGCGAGATATTTTCGCGCTTCTTTGGGACGGACAGGATGAGTGGAGACGCAGACGACCCCTTCTCACATCCCGTGAGGGTTTAGGGTTTAGGGTTTGGTCCCGAGGGCTTCGATTAGGGGCTCTCACTTGTAGGTGCACTGGAGAAGTGGAGCCTAGTGCTTAGGGTTGATTCTTAGGGCTTAGGGTTAAGGGTTTAGGGTTCCTGTTGCCTTCAGATCTTTGGTATGGCCGGCGCGGGGGGTCCCTTTGGCATGCGGTTCAGCACTTCTGGAGGCAGACGTAAGGCTGCTGCTGCTGCTGCTTGTGCTGCTGCTGCCGCTTGTGCTGCTGCTGCTGCTTTGCTGATGTGACCAGTGAAGGGATGGCTCTTGTGTTCGCTACTGCTGCAGGGTGCGGTAGCATGCAGGGAATGAGCAGCAGCAGCAAACCCCGAGCTTACGAGAGGGACTTGGTCTGCACCTTGGAGGAGCTGTACACGTATGTCACACCATACGAAACAGGGTTTCGGGTACAGGTTTCAGGGTTTAGTGTTTAGAATTCAGGGTTTAGGGTTTAGGGTTTCGGATTTGGGCTCGACGCGGTGTCTGGACACCTTGCTGCCGCCGTTGTGCTGCCGCTGTGCTGCAGCGGAACCACAAAGAAGATGAAGATTGGCAGAACGCGGTAAGTGCAGTTCCCCAACTAGGGTTCAGGGTTTAAGGATTAGCGCGTAGCCTTCAGGATTTTAGTTTGCTGGAGGCCACAATTAGTTTGGAGCACAGGACGTAGGGTTTAGGGTGTAGGCTTTAGAGTGTTGGTTTGGTGCAGCTTCCATAACGGCCGTCCGGTTAAGGAAGACAACGTTGTAACTGTCGACGTCAAGGCGGTGAGCTTCCCGTTAGGGGCCAGGGGTTTAGGGTTTGAAGTGGGAATTTTAGGGTTTAGGGTCTTGGTCTCAGTATTCAGGATATTTGGGCTACGGATTTGGGGCTTAGGCTTTAGGAATAAGCCGCCGCGTGCTGCGTATTGTTTGGCTGATGTGCTTTTTTAGGGGTGGAAGGAGGGCACCAAGTCAGCTGCTGCTTCTGCTGCTGTAGCTGCCATTGCTGCGGCTGCTGCTGGTGCTGCTGCTGAGCCCGCTGTTTGAATGGTTTTATTCGCTGCAGGATCACTTTCAGCGGCGAAGGAGGCCAAGAAACCCCGAACGGGCCCCCGGGGGACCTTATATTGTAGGTTGTGTCTGGTGCTGCTGTTGCTGCTGCTGCTGCTACTGCTGCTGCTTCATTTTGGCTGTTTCGAGCTCGGAAAATTCATCACCATCAAAATAATCAGCTGCAGCACCGGAGAGCGGTCAACACTACCACAATCAGCTGCAGCAGTAACAGCCGCAGCAGTAGCAACTGCAGCAGTAACAGCTGCAGCAGCAGCAGCGGGTGCGCGTTCCTGTGCGCTGCACAGCGTTGTGAAGTGCAAGCCGCACTCGCGTTTCACGCGGGACGGGAGCCACTTGATTTACAAAGTGCCAGTGCCGCTGTTGAAGGCCCTTGTCGGCTTCACAGTGCCGGTCACCACCCTCGACAACAGAACGCTCCACGTCAAGATTGACCAAGTCGTCAACCCCAAGTACAGGAAGGTTGTCCCCGGAGAAGGTCCGCGCCTGTTGCTGCTGCTGCAGTTGCTGAAGTTGCTGCTGCTGGTGTTGTTGCTGTAGCCGCTGCTGCTGCTGTTGTTGCTGCTGTCATTGGTTCTGCTGCTGCGGTGGTGGTGGGGACGGGGGCGCTGTTGTGGCGGGGATGCAGCGTTAGCCCTGCTGGTGGTGTGCTGGTACTGCTATTGTTGCTGCGCTGTTGCTGCTGTTTCCATTGGCCTGCCATCGCTTTTCTTGCTGCTGGGACTGCGGGTGAGCGTTCCGGCCTGAGTGCCGCCAACAGTGACTCTCTGCTTCATAGGCTGCAGGTGCTGCTGTTGCTGCTGTTGCAGGCATGCCGATTAGCAAGAAGCCAGGAGAGAAGGGAGACTTGATCATAGAGTTCGACATAATCTTCCCACGGTGGGCTGCTACTGCTGCCGTGCTTCTGGGGCTGTTGCTGGGGCTGCTTCTTGCTGTGCAGTGTTTGCTGTGGGTGGTGCTGCGGCGTTTAGCAGACTTGGGTCGCGCTGCTGCTGCTGCTGCGGCTTCAGGACTCTGTCGGACGACCAGAAGACAAAGCTGAAGGAAATATTGGCGAACTCGTAGCTGCATTCGCTGCTGCTGCAGCAGCAGCAGACGGTGGGCAGTAGCGGCAGCCCAAGCAGGAGGGAGGTGCACAATCCCAACGGGCCGTGTCGTCACACTTTATGCCAGGAATCTACGGGGCTTGTAGCTGCTTCCGCTACAGCCCCTTCTGTGCGGGGCTTATAGCTGCTGCTGCTGCAGCCCAAGCTGCTGCAGCCCCAGCTGCTGCGGCCCCTGCTGCTGCAGTCCCTGCTACTACAGCCCCTGCTGCTGCTGCTGCGAATACGGAGGCTTCAGCAGCAACAACCGCGCCGTGTGCCGGGGCCCCTCGGCAGCGGGCGCCCAGAAGGGGCTGTTGCGGCCCTCTGGTTTTGGAGGCTCTGTGGCACTGGGCTGCAGCGGCTGCCCACCTTAATAACTTTGTGCAGAGTTGAAGTAAATGGCAGCAGATTGGCTAGGGAGTTGCGGCAGCTGTTCGAAGCCTGAAGCTTGAGAAGACTCATGAGCTAGCTGGTTGGCGGTCTAGCTAGCCGCCTAGGCAATCAAGTAGCGAGCCATCATGGCCTGGCCGTTAGCTCTCAGCTTCTCTGGCTTAAGTGGAAGAGAACATGCAGAAGCAACCTCTCCTAAGCTCCCTGCCCCTGTAAGAGGCGCCCAACCTCTAGCTACCTAGCTCGCTAGCTGGCACATAGCTAGCTATCCGGCCAGCTGCCTAGCTATCTAGCCAGCTGCCTAAGCTAAGCGTGCACTTGCAGTTGAGAATGTAAGGTACGCAGCTGCATGCAGGAATAGCTAGAGGTGGTACTTAGAAGTGACAGCGCTGCCCTAAGGGGGGCAGCTCACACAGAGCTATTTGAAAGCTTGTTAAAAAGATTGGGGCTGCCCAGGGCCCCTGAGCCCCTGGGGCGGAGTGGGGGTCCCTGTGGGGGCCCCCAGAAAAACAGAGATATGCAGGGTAGCGAGCAAGGGGCCCCCATGGGAGCCCTTAACTGCCTCTGCTGCAGGTGGGTCCCCTACGACCCGGGGGTCCTTCTGCAAGGGCCCCCCAGCGGCTGCTGCGGCAGGGGCTCCGCTGGGAGGACACTGCCAGGGACTTTTTCCCCGTCGAGGCCCAGCCTGCTGCGGGCCCCCAAGAGGCTGCAGCAGCAACAGATACGGCAGCAGCAACACAAACAGCAGCAGCGACAGCAGCAGAATTGTCGGCGTGCCCAGTGTGCGTCCAGCTAGTTGAACGCAGTACAGAGAGAAGCCTAGTCTGCTTGCACATACATGTACTTATATATGTATACATACAAAGTCGTAGAGCTGATAGATTATATATGCTGCATGCAGTCATTTAATCATATTTATTATATACACTAGGTAAACAGCGTATATATTTTGTGCTGCACTGCCGGCTCTTCTTCCTTTTTAACTTTGGTGTAGCAAGCAAGCCGGCAAAAAACTATTGCGGCCCCTCACCTGGGTCTCCCTAGGAGCCCTCGGTGCGTTTGTGTTTGCTGCTGCTGCTGCTGCTGCTGTTGTTGCTGTTGCTGCTGTTGGCCTCCCTCAAGCAGCAAGGGAAGTGTCTGGGAGAGCCCCGAAGTAGGCGCAGGGATGCCTGTAACCGGGGTGCCGGGAGGAAGCTTAAGGGAGTGCATGGTGAAGGGCCCCTCCGCATGTGGGGGCCCCCTTGTGGGGGCCCCTGCGTCTCTGGCTGCAGGCGCCCCAAGGGGCTCCAGGGCACATCCACGCTGCAGAGAGGGGCCCCCCTCGCTGCGGGCAGCCCCCAAGACACTCCTTGTGCTCTGTGCCTCCACAGCTTCCCACTGCGGCGCTGCTGCTGCGGCGCCTAAGGGTGAGGCGTTGGGGTCCCCTCGCTGGTCCTGGGGGCCTTCGGGTACCCGCAGAGCGTCGTGGGTACTCACAGCGGGAGTCAGCACGTAGGGGGAAAGGTTGGGGGCCCCCTTGGGTACGGACACCCCAGGGGCCCCCGATAGAGCCTCTAGGGCGACGGCCTCCTCGGCTTCTTTAATTAGCTGCTGCAGAGACCCCACAGGAGCGCTGCGCGCAGCAGCAGCAGCAGCAGCAGCAGTAGCAGCCGCGGTAGAGGCGGGGAGCACCGCCTGTGCTGCTGCCTTCGCCGTTGGTACAGCTGCCTCGTATGCTGAAGCTGCTGGAGTTGCTGGTGCGGGTGCTGCTGCTACTGCAGCAGCAGCAGCTGCTGCTGTCTGCACGAGGGCTCCCCCTGACCACCTGTAGGTAACAGCCTCTCCTGCAGGGGACCCCTGGGGCACAAGAGAGGGGAGGGCCTCAGGCTGTGGGCTGCTCCAGGTCGCCGTCTGAGCTCGCGCTGCCTCTCCACCTGCGGCGCACTGAGCACTGCACGCTGCCACTGATAAGCAGTGCAGGCTTGCGGGGCCCCAGGGGCCCCACAGGGGGCCCCAAGGGCCCCACGAGGCCCTTCGGCTACTGCAGGAGCTGTGTGTCTCAAGTGTCCGTACACTGCAGCTCGCTTACTAGGAAAACAAGATGAAGACTCTTCTGCTGCCTGTTCTTTGCGGCCACAACGCAGCACCTGCGGCAGCAACAGTAGAAGCACAAATGCAGCGTCAGGAAGCAGCGCCGCTGCAGCAGGAGCCAAGAACGCCGGCAGGCTCAGCAGTAGCAGCAGCGACAGCGAAGGAGGAGCAGCGAAGGCCAGCAGCAACGCAAAACACAGCAGGAGCAGCACAGGACGCAGACGCTGCCACTTAGAGCGCAAGCAGGTGGCGAAGCAGTAGCAGCAGCAGCCTCAGCCGCAGCACGAAACGCAACAGCAGCATTGAGCAGAGAAAGAATATAAGGAGTTCCTGAGTCGCAGGATGGAGAGGTTCAAGGGAAACTTGTTGCCTCACGAGGGTGTGTATGATGAGGTGGCCGGTGGTCGGGTGTCTGTACAGCTGGATCGCTGCAGCGTCGTTCCTGAATCTCTGGCAGTAATTCGGGGCAGAGAAGACCGTGAGGCAGCAGCCACTGCAGCAGCGCTGTGTCCCGGCGGGGACGCACTCGTGGCCTCTAATCATGATCTTCAGTTGGTTCCCTGCTAAGAAGGAAAGCAGGCCCTCCTCGGTGAACCTGCGGTGGCCTCGCAGCAGCAGCCGCACAGCAGCAGCCGCAGCTCTAGGCAAAGGCCACAGCCAGCGGGCTCGCCCGGGCTTGCTGGCAGCAACAAGGCGGCAGCAGCGCGAACAACAGACCACGCAGAAGCCACAGCAGCAGCAGAGCGAGCAGTGGAGCAGCAAACCAGCCACCAAGCGACTTAAACACCCAGCAGCAAAAGAAACAACAGCAAGCAGCAAAACCAAAACACCAAGGCCACGAGGCGGCGGCGCAGCAGCAAGTAAAGACAGGCTGCGGAACTGCCGCATGGACTTGTGAGGGGTCTGAAGCTACTGCTGCGCAGCGCAGCAGCGCAGCAGCCCAACAGCCACCGCGGCTGGGCTGCGGCTGAGGTGTACGTACCCCCGAAGCGGGGAGGCAGACAGACAGTTAGTTACCTGACTGTGTTGCAGCCTCGGCTGGACTTGACATTCGCTGTCTTTTCTCCCTCGCCTTCTTCCGGGATAACGGGATCGCTCCAGAGACAGTCAATGATTCGGCAGGCCCTCATCACGGTTTCATCGTTATCCTTTTGGCTGCGGTCTGCACGCAGAAGGCCCGATGCTAGAGTGTCTTGCAGCTGCAGCTGCAGCAGCAGCCGCGGCAGATGCCGGTGGCCACAGCGGCAAAGAGATACACAGGGGCAACGGCAGCAGCAGCGACAGCCTGTGCTGCGCCGGAAGAACAGAAGCAGCGAGTGGAGATGCGGAGCAGGCGCCAGCAGCTCCAGTAGCAGCAGGTATAGAACAAGGACAGCTGGACACAGCAGCCGAGCAGCGGTAGCAGCGGCAGCAGCAAAGCCCTCACCGACGTGCTGCGGCACCGTAATGGGCTTCTGGAGGCCTTTGAGTTGCTGCAAAGAAGTTATGCTGTCTCCTATGCCGCCGTGAATGAAAAAGAGCCCATCTGCCCTGGCTACAGCAGCAAGAGGCAAGAACTCAAACAAGCTGTTGGCTCTTTTCCAAAGAGCCTCTCCTTCTGTGCCCCCCAGCTTGCTGACGCACTCCGCGTAAAACCCGTAAATGTAATTCATCGGGCGGTCTTCGTGGTTTCCTCGCAGCAGCCACACCTTGTCCGGGAACTGCAGCCAGCGGGCCCGCAGACAGCCGCAGACAGCTAGCCACGCAGCTAGCTAGCGCGCTAGGTGGGCAGCTAGCTAGCGTGCTAGCTAGATGGATGACTACAGAACGCCCTAGCGAGCTAGCTGCATGAGAAGGCACCTAGCCACCAAGCGCCTGGGGGAGCTAGTTCTGCAGACGGCTGGCTACGCATGAAAACGGGCAGTAGAGCCTAGCTGGTGAGAAGCGCAGCGTGCTAGCTAGCCACACGCCCAGCCAGTAGCTAGCTACGTATCTAGCTAGGTAGCTAGCTACGTAGCTAGCTAGCTAGTTAGGTAGCCAGGTGCGGGCAGGGCGCACTTACAAGTACTTTGAAGGAGAGTAGCAGCAGCAGCACCTCGCAGCTGAAAATGCCGCGGTCCACAAAGTCCCCCAAAAATAACAGAGAACACCCGAGGCCCGAAATCAAATCTTCAGGCCAGCCGAAAGAACCGAAAAAATCCAACAAGTCCACCAGCTGGCCGTGTAGGTCGCCGTAGACCCGAAGCGGCAGCTCCAGCTGCAGCAGGAGCAGCAGCAGCGAAGGCAGCAGCACCAGAATAAGGAGTCAGCAACCTAGAAGCCGTTCGTGGAAAGCTCCCGAGGGCGGGGGCATAACCTGCTGCTGTTGCTGCTGGTACAACTACTCAGAAGAAATAATTAAATCACGATAAGCGTAAGCCCTACAACCCTACAAGTTTTGGAACTGGAAACCCCAAGCCCTATATGTGAAACCCTAAGCCCCTCACTTTACCTCAAGCAGCGAGTTTTCTGCTGCCACAAGAGAGGCGGTGGCATCGCAGA